ATTTTGATACCCTTTCCTTTTGGGTTTGTATTTGTTTACGCTTATGCCCTCTCCTTTTAGGCTTATATTAATTCATTTTTATGCCCTTCCTTTTGGGTTTATATTTGTTTATGCTTATGCCCTTTCCTTTTGGGCTTATATTAATTTATTTTTATACCCTTTCCTTTTGGGTTTATATTTGTTTATATATTTGTAAATGTGTTATATACATATGTATAAAACCACATTTATTTTCCCTCTCTTTTTATGTTGGGAAAGAAAAAAATGTGAATTATGGAATTGCTATATTGATATATTGTTGTTGTATAGAATTGTGGTAAGTTTTAGTGTTTGAGAGTTTCAGGCTCACCCGTATCCCTTTGGTCGCTGTGCGGCTTCAGGTCACTCACGTGTGCTGTCCTTATTCGCCTGTCAGTTATGCCTTTTGTTTTGCATATTACGGGCGATGTAAAATCTACTATCTGGTAAGGGCCCCCGTATCTCGGTGCTAGCTTCGCCGCGAATCCTTCTGCTGCATTCGACAAGTGGTGTAATTTCACTCACACTCTGTCTCCGATATTGGGTTTAAACGGTCTACGACGCAGGTAGTAGTGCTTTGCTTGGTCCTGTGCTGCCTTTTCTAAGCTCCGCCGGACAATTTCGAATACTTCCTTTAATTTCCTCTCATTGTCGAACGGTGTTTGAGCTGCTTGGCCTGTTCCGACTGTCACCTCGTTTCCTTTGGAAGCCTTGGCTCTCGGCCTTGTGTTACGAACGCCGCGCTGTACCCGGTGGAGCTTGAGACGCTGGTGTTAACTGCCAGTGTCAGCTCGGGTAGAGGTTAGTCCCAACGTCTTTGGTTCTGGGGGATGTGTCTAAAGAGATTTCCGGATTCTTCACTATAGTCTGGGAACTTCCTCGGATTTTTTGCTATGTCAGACCGCAACTTTTGGATCCAATTACAACTTTTGTTTGACTGGTCCATCGAGTCGTCCATAGTCTAGACTCTGAGGCACGTATCCTTCAGGGGTTGTCGGGATAGGACGCCTGCAACAACATTAAGGTTTCCCTTTCTGTATTTGACGTCAAAGTCGAACTGTTGCAGTTGCAGTGTCCATCTCGCGATCCTGCCTGATGGGCTTTCGATGGAGTTCAGACACTTCAGTGCCATATGATCCGTGATGACAGTGAAGTGGTATCCTTCCACGGTCATAGCTTCCTTATGCCCCAGATTCTCGCAAGGCTTTCTTTTTCGGTCGCTTGCATACGATATCACCCGTCCGGCCTCCTCTGAGTTTTGGGTCAGTATCGTTCCCAAGCCATAATTGCTATCATCCATCTGCAAGCAAAATGGCCTTGGGAAATCTGGGCATGCTAGCACATGGGATTGTGTCAGCTTAGCTTTGACCTTTTCGAAAGCTTCTTGGTGCTCTCCTGTCCATTCCCATTTTGTACCTTTCTTCAATAGTTTGTGTAGTGGGTGTACTGTGGTGGCAAAATCTGGTACGAACCGCCTGTACTATGATGCCACTCCCAGGTACTGTCGTAGTTCCTTTACGTTTCCAGGGGGTTTCAACTCGGCGATAGCAGCTACTTTCTCCAGATCCGTGCGTATCCCTTCTTCGGTCACCTGATGGCCAAGGTATTTAAGTTCCGTTTTGAAGAAGTCGCACTTGTCCACATTGATCCTCAGGTTCGATACTCGCAACCGTCGGAACACTTCTCGCAAGTTGTGCATGTGTTCCTCGCGCTTATTCCCGATCACAATGATGTCATCCAAATATGCAAAGGAATGCTTTTGTTTATCTCGGCTTGCGTTTTGGGATTTTTAGGGGAGTACCGCTGTTTAATTGGCCGATCGTAACTCATGACAACACGATGCTCAGTTAGAGGCGATATTCCTTTTATATCCCCAAATGCCGCCAATTCTCCTTGCAAAAATTGATCAATTGATTGTGGCTACGGACAATCTTTCCTCTTGTTGGTGGATCTCGTGCTTTGGGATGCTTACTAGCAACCCTGCGCACTCCAAAACTGTGCCCATGCCTGACAAGAAGTCCCATCCGAGGACTAAGTCGTCGATGACTCCTGGGAGTATCAGTAGGGCAATATCCATGTTCCTCAGCCCTAGTCTGATGTTCACCTCGGCCTGTTCTCGGAGTCCGCTGTTTCGGCCATCTGCCATCCGGATTCGACGTTCGGTTGCGCTCCGTCGGCCTACGTTGTCCAGTCCATGAGCTAGCTTCTCGCTAACGAAGCTACTCGTGGCCCCTGTGTCAATCGTAGCCTTATACCGACTGTTGCCGATCTCTACAACCGCTGTCATCTGCGCTCCTTCATCCTGTAGGCTTCCGATTAGCGTCTTGGGGCTGTCCTGTTCGGCTTCCGCTCGCCCCCGTTTCCCGACGGACAATATACTGATGAGCGAACTCCGATCGTCCACATAGCCAGCAAAATTCCAGCATAGGATTCGTATACTCAATTGCAATATGTCCCTCCTGGCCGCAAAATCAGCATGACCTCGCTGGATTTCATATATGTGTTTGTATGTTGTCTCGTCTCGTCCTCGGGGCAGGTCTGGATCTCGTGCCGACTTCGGTCCGCTCCTGATATGCTTGGTTGTGTCATTGCCATACATCATGGTCGATTACGTCTCTGAGCGGATTCCCTGTGGCTATATTTTGGAGCTTCCTGACGCGTCTGTGGTGGCTCAATGCGTCGTCGTGGTGAATCCATGTGTCTCGGTTATTCCATGCGGCTCTGTTGTCTCAGCTATTCCCTGTCCGCTTCAAGCTCCTCGAACGCTTCGGCCAAATGCATAAATTCTGCCAAATGCATCAATTCTGCCAAATTATTGAATTGGTAAGGCCTGGCGTAAGCTCGTAAATCCGGGAGACCGTTGTTGTATATTTTATTAAGCTCTCTTTCCGCTGAATACTGCAGTGGCCACATGAGCGTCTGCATTTCTACCATGTACACTTTAAACGGTTCGTGCATCGCGTGCCGTCTTCGGGAAACTTCGTCCTTCAAGTTTTCGAAGTAGTCTCTTGGAAGGAAATGCTCCTGAAAACTTTGGACGAATGCTACCCATCTCGTCCAGTGCTGGTTGTTGGCTATGTACCACTTAAGAGCCATTCCCTGAAGTAATTCGGGCATCGCCCTGGGAATTAAATTCAGGTTCAATCCATATGTATCTGCTGGCCATTCGACTTGTTACAGGAATTCCAGAGGCTTGGTGGTACCGTCGAAACGAAAATTCCATTCGCGGACTTGTTTCGCTACTCTGGGGTATTCCTGGGACATAGTCGGTGCCGTTTGTTCGTTTATAGACACTCTTCTTTGTGGCTGTGGTGTGGACGCTACCCCCAAAGAGTATGATTGGCGCCTCGAGTCCGCGCTGCTGCACTTGTTGCCGGGATGCTCAGCTGGGCGAAATTTATATTCGTCGACTCTCTTGCATCTGCAACATTTCTGATTCTCTGGCCGGCGATTGTCTGCCATGAATCGCCGCCAGTTCCTCCAATCTTGTGCTATATGGCAATCTGTTTTCGTGAGTACTCACCCACTCTCCAAATTGTCTGCACATAGCATCCAAAGTTCCGGATAACTCCACTTCGAATTCTGCTCCATATTTCAGCACTTCGTCTTTTTTTAAATTGTACACCCACGCGCGAACCATTTTTATTTTATTTTATTTTAATATATATTATGTGTTTTAATTTATTGCAACCACCAAAGTTGGGCGCCAGTTGTAACGAACCTATTTACTAGGTTGTGTTTTAGCTAAGCTAAAACTCAGTCGAGCTGCGGGTTCGAGCAACAAATTTATTATTGCGTTCACTTGAGGCCGAAACAACATGTATATGTCATTGAACATCTGCAATTACATACGCCGCCATTAACATGTGCATGCATCAATTAAATTATATTTGGGTATTAAATATCCGCACCATTACAGGGTGCTTATCTGCTTATTGATTTATATTTGCATTATGCTGCCCGGTGACCTGCTTGGCCATAACTGAAACAATTGAAATTCAGTTTGGGAAAATTTCTTTTTACACACGAAGAAACACCACTTTTAAAACAATTCCCTTCAGTTTTCGCATCTACGCTGGGTTGACTAACAAATTCGTCAGCATGTGGTTCATGTTTGATTGCAGTCTTAGACGCATAACGAGTTTTTACCTCAGTCTGAGTCTTTAACACGTTTACATTTCTGGCCTGGAACATTTTCCTTGCGGTAGAATCTGGAATATGCTATATAAAATACTCTACCCAGCTCTATCTACTTTGACAAGACTTGCTATATCCATCAAAGCATACAATTATTCGTATAACGTCTCTCCTTTTTCTGAACATATTGAACCAATCTTCTTCTGACAAAATATTGATAGCAAATTTGTCATGCTGCCCTCAACATTTTTCAATCAATAACTATTTTGGGGTGTTGCAAGCTGGGACAATTTAAAGTGGTAACTAGTGATGAGATTGATCATGAGGATGACTCTCATCATCCCGATCACCGAAGTCAGTCAGTAGTCTTCTAATCCGCACTTTATGCCAACTATATGTAAATCTATTTGACAGTTTGCAGCTCTACAGCGACCAGTGCTATAATCTCTTCCAATTAAGCAATTTACTTTATCAATCGTTCTAATTTAACTTTAACGTCTATGCCAACCGATGTTCATATCAATTGCAGTTTCTACCAATATCTGTATCTTAATCCCCAAAACTTCTTGCTGTTCTACCACTCGGTAGCCGCTTTGACTACGCTTGCCCCAATACATTACTGATATCGCCACTGACTCAATTACTTACTCTCAAAAGTATCGGTGCAATGGCAATGAGGTTGACAGATAGATTTTACTGTTTTTGTCCGTTTCTCTCCGATATTAAATCCCACACTGCTATTCTGTGTTTCTCCTGTAATAACTTATTTGACATTGACAGGCATTAGTCAAACAGTAATGTCATTAGAATTGTATAAATTTATTGAGAAACCTAATTAGTTCAAAATGAAAGCATTTCTAAAAAAGGATAAATTATTTTTCGCGACGACCATCCTTATAATACTCATTTGTGTGGGTTTCGTAATACGTTTTTCTGGCTTTAACCATGAGAAACAGAAGATAATCTCGATTCTGGTGAACGTGTTTATGGTGACTGTAATGCTATTCCTTGTTGCTGATACAATCAAATTCCTGCTGTTGGCGATTGATGAGGCCTTCTGGCCGCGCAAGTTGTCTGCCTTCACCACGGATAGTGAGGCAAAACTCCACACTCGCACGGATTACCTAAAGATGCGGCTAAATTCGTTGCGCTATCGGCTGCTGGTAACGGAGGATCATCGGAACGAGAAACTGAATTTGAGATATCAGAATATTGCACACGATCTGTGGCTATATGGGAAGTATTTCTTCCTACTGATGTGCCTGGTGCTGGTGACCCAAGACGAATTGCTCTACTTCAATAGCAACGTACTGAATGACTTTTTTATGAACAATCACACGTACACCATGGGACTGAAACATGTGAATAGACTCGATCAACTCTATCCGTTCATTGAGATCTCACTTGTGAAGGCCTTCGAAACGAATGCCACCAACATAGGAAATCTTAATATTTTGTATGGCGATCACACTAGCATGTTGGGAGTGGTGCGACTGCGTCAGCTGCGCAGAAAAGAAAATTCGCACACGGGCTGGAAACCAGTCGAGTTTTCAAGTCTCGACTATAAGCCCAAATGGAAGTTACCTTATGAACGAATATCATACACAGACAAATATTGGCGCATCTATGAGCCCTGGCTGCCCATTAGTCCGACTTACAGTAGAACCGATAAGTTTTTTTTCAACTATAACTATCCCGGTTATTTACAGAGCTATCCGGAGATGGAGGGCTATGTAACACTGCTCTCAAACAGCTATGACAATAGTATGAGGGTGATTGAATACCTCCAGGAGAAGCATTGGCTTACGTGGAAAACAACGGCAGTTTTCATGGATTTTACTCTCTTCAATGCCGATGCGAATATCTTCACCATATGCACTTTACTCGTGGAACAAACGCCCTTTGGGACTATTCTGTCCAACGCAAGGATAATCAGTGCAAAACTGCATTTCGTTGCGCAGCTGGGAAAAGGTGGCCTCATCGTACTGATCATCTACATAATTGTGGTCATACAATTCTTCAAGGCTTTGGTTATGGTGATATGGTATGAGCCGATCAAGCTGCGCAGCATGTGGACCAAGTTGGATTTGATTATCTTTGTGCTCAACATCACAGTGATTATTTTAGTAAGCGTACAGGAATTTATGGTATCGCAGCTGCTTGCAAAGGTCGAGAGTTCCAGCAAACTCGAGTTTCTTGACTTCCGTATGCCTACCCGCCTGCATGAATGGACCCGCAACATGCTTGGCTTTCTTGTCTGCCTTACCACCATGCGTTTGTGGCGTGTGCTGCAGTTTGCCAGCGTCTTTCAACTATTCGCTTCCACGTTGTACTCAGCGTGGCAGGCGCTGGCTAGTACTGCCATGATAATTCTAACATTTTTAGTGGGGTTCGGTATTGCAGTTGTCACTATAAATGGAAACAATGCGGATAGCTTTAGCCAGCTGTTCAAGAGTATTATATCGTCGTTGTGCTTTTCTTTTGGCTTCAGCTCACAAATCACGCCAAATGATCTATTTTATGGTGGTCGGTTGCTGGGCTTGGTTTTATATCTAATTTTGGCATTTTTCGTTGCCTTGCTGATGACAAATCTATTTGTTTCAATAATTAACGATTATTTTTCGCGTGCAAAGCGTATGCGAGATGAGAAACATGAAGAAAATATTAACTTTCTGCAATTCCTGAGAGTCGAATACGCCGCCATATTTAAATTCTTTCAAAGGATGGCAATTTTCAAAATGGCCTACAAGCGGCATAACCGCACAGTTGCCGAGAACATAAAACGTATTTTGGACCACAAAGTGAAATTGAAAGCATCCGAAAAATCCGAAAGCATTAAGCACGCTGAGTATAAGCGTCGTATTGAACGACTGTTCACTGTTGCGGCTATCATGCAGACCCAAATGGAACTACTTGACCACATGCTATTCGAAGCTGAAAATGTCTAATTAGATCCAACGGATGACGTTGAAGAAGGCTATTTCATTTCTTTGATATTTTATAAGCTTATTATTATAATATTTAGTATTATATATTGTTACCTATCTATAGTTGTGTTGAGCGTGATGGCATAAAGCGCGAGATGCAAGCGTGTAGTGTATTGTACTGCATTGTTGTACTTAGTGCTATGAATACTTTTCCTGCTACATCTCCTGAGCGAATTCCAATATGAGTATTGAGTCAATTGCTTGTTGTATGCCTCAACGTAATTTTGATGAGCGTCTTTATCTGATCGAATTCCTTCAGAAAAATCTGCACGATCCAACATATTTTTCAAACTATTGCGAACGAGAATCTTTTTTTCTTACTCTATTCCAAATAGCATTTTGTTAGAATGTTGTTTTATTGTCCATTGAATCGTATTGTCTATTCTGTGTACGACTGTTTCCACCACTACTTCCCAATGTTAGTTTTTTCTCCATCTATAAGTTGGATAGAGCCTAACAAATTTTGTGAAAACGTCTACTTTATGTATTTGTTCGACGTACCTGTGTCAACCGGCCAAAGTGATATATATACGTATACACTGGAAACAGTTTCAAATATGTATCATTGTCTTAGCCTTGATGTTTGCAAGCCAGTAAGTTATTGATATGTCTACCATCTTGTCTATACCAATATGTCCGAATTCGTTATGGTATTTATAAAGAAAATAACTTTCCATTTCTTCAGGCATACAAAACAAAAGGCTATTGCTGTATTTCTTTCTGTAAATTATGCAATTTCTCATTTCAGAATACCTGTGTTCTGTACTTTGTAAATCTTTTTTTAACTTTAGCAGTTTGTTACCTCTATTTTGGAAGATAATTAAATTTTCTTCCAATATATTTGTGTCTATTGCCAACATTTTAACGTTTCTACTAAACGCATCCACGTGTTACATTCTGTTCCCCGATATATGCTCTAACATGTACTAGCCCAACGTATCATTCAAGTGATTAGCTCTTTTTTGTTCAGTATAGTCGTTTTTGTATATTTGAAAAGTTTTCCAAATTAATGTTGAGGTACTTTACTAACGTCTTTGACGCTTAGAAAAGTAAAATCCTGAATATAATTTTCCATCACCCTTTTTCTGTATCAGGATCCATCCGAACCCTATCGCACTAACATCGCAATGCGGTTCTATCGGATCTGATTTCTGTCAATTCCTTCTACAAGATATTTTAATTTTTCAAAGCATTCTAATTCAACAGCTCCGAATTCAAATTTCTTGTCTTCTCACCAAGTCATAAAGAGGTATAGCTTTTGTGGAAAAATCCTTAACTAATTTGCTAAAAAAATAAAACATAGTCTCAAGACGCTCCCATGCATCTTTTTCAAAGTTAGAAAATCAACTATAAATAACTATTTGTAACGAGTCGTTTTGCGGAAATTTTGTACTATGTCGGGTAATTATCTTTTAACATTTTTTGGCACAATTCTTGGTCCACTCGAAATTAGTTGTTGGTGCTTAGGCGGCGGCTCAAGCGAATAGATAAGCAGATAACCTAAAAAAAATAGAACAACTCAAAAAGCAGCACAAGAAGCTTTTCAATAGGCGTACGGTTCAAGCTGAGGTCTTGTTGCGGTCAAATTGTCAAGATTATTGAGAGAAAAAAGTCGTGTCCATAGCAAATCGACAGTGACTAAAACCACAATTGGCAAAAGAAAAGCATTCGACCGAACCAATTCAAACCGTTCTAGGCAATTTTTTTTGGGAAAGAGAAAATACCAGACCTGCCACTATTTCTAGCAAGCTACACGCGGGGGATAATTTACACCGAGGGAATGATATAACCCGACAAAGTTATTTGGCTTTATTCCATTGAGTCGACATCGGAAGCGTCGCTAGTCAGCGGGACGAAAGTGCGAAGGAGTGTTTAACCCAAGAGAGCAACTTCATCCCACGGATCCCGATTGAGCGGATATTCTCTACTGTCCAGGAGACAATAAACAGTTTGCAATCAAATAATTCCGAGTTTATTATGTGTGAACAGATCATAAAGTTTGAGCAGATCATAAATCCTCTGATAAATTTAGCACTATTCGACAAGCTAATTTCGCAATTGGCGAAACGCTCTAAATTACTTTGAGTGTCTCGCTTAATCACTGATAGTAAGAAATGTAATCGTTAAATTTTTTTTATATTAATATGTTCATTGTCGTATAAATTTATAAATTTCACAATGTATATATAAAATACTCTGTAATACTCTTTGGAGTTACAATCACGTGTTTTATTTTATGTTTTATACACTGTCGATTTGCTAAGTACACGACTTCTTTCCTTCAATAACCTTGACAGTTTGCCCGCAACGAGACCTCGCTTGAACCGTGCGCTTATTGAAAAGCTTCTTGCTGAGCTCTTCTTGAGTGAGCGATTTCGTGCTGCGTTTTGAGTGGTTCTATTCTAGTCGGTTATCTGCATATCTCTTCGCTTGAGCGGCCACCTAATCACCATCAACTAATTTAGAGTGGACCAAGAATTGTACCAAAAAAAAATTATTATTGAACGACTACTACACTTGGTTGGCCTCCTTTTGTCGGGACTGTACCAAGATGGCGTGTTCTTTTTGGTAATTTTCCATTGCCTAGGGCGAAAGAGATCGAATTCGCTGCAACTGCATCAGAGTCGGATTTCGGCCTGATAGACAGTTATGGTGAGGGGCGCATATAATGCACGCTAATATGCATCTCGCATGCACATCCATGAATATATATATATATATATATATATATATATATATAATTAATAATCATAAATATACGAGTACATATACATGCATACTCACACGTGTATAGTTATATGGCTCCTCACACTCCCCCTCTTTCTTTGGCAGTGGAAATATTCCACTTTCTAACCTAAAGATAAAAAAGAGCTGAAAATATAAATAGCAAGAATGTCTGGGTTTTTTTTGTTGTTTTATTTTATTTTTATTTTTATTTATTTTTATTCCCTGTGGAAAACCCGCGTGCCTCGCATCGATGTCTTTACTCGGTTTTGGCACCCCTCACGCCACACGATCCTAGATCCCCGTTGACTTGGCTGGGCATCGGTCACGGGTAAATTCGTCCTTCAAGTTTTCGAAGTAGTCTCTTGGTAGAAAATACTCCTGAAAACTTTGGACAAATGCTACCCATCTCGTCCAGTGCTGGTTGTTGGCTATGTACCACTTAAGAGCCATTCCCTGAAGTAATTCGGGCATGGCCCTGGGAATGAGTGGTGCCGCCGAAACGAAAATTCCATTCGCGGACTTGTTTCGCTACTTTGGGGTATTTCTGGGACACAGTTCGTGTCGTTTGTTCGTTTGTGGACATTTTTCTTTGTGGCTGTGGTGTGGACGCTACCCCGCAAAGAGTCTGATTGGCGTCTCCAGCCCGCGCTGCTGCTCTGGATGTCGGGATGCTCAGCTGAACGAAATTTATATTCGTCGACTCTCTCGAATCCGCAACATTTTCAGTTTCTCTAGCAGGCGATTGTCTGCCATGAATCGCCGATAGTTCTTCCAATCTTGTGCTATATGGCAATCTGTTTTCGTGAGTACTCACCCACTCTCCAAATTGTCTGCGCATAGCATCCAAAGTTCCGGATAACTCCACATCGAATTCTGCTCCATATCTAGCACTTTTATTTTTATTATTATAGTTTTTTTTTTTAATATATATTATGTGTTCTAAATTATTTCAGTCGATCTGAGAATTCGAGCAAAAAATGTATATTAAAACAGAGGGTATATATATATATATATATATATATATTCAACTTGATTTTATTTATCGCACTTATATTGTTGGAAATTACACTTTCCAATGTTAGTATCTGATCACTTAATGGCTACTCGCTCAGTGGCATCTCGCAATTCATCGGTATCCTTGGTCAGGTTTGATTCGAGCTTCTGTGCGCAAGAATCTGCCCCAGGCACTCCGCCCATCAGCTACGCAACTCCAGGATCTCAGCCTGCCCGCCAGATATTCCGTCCAGCACACCAGCTGCTCACCATGACTAGCGGTTTCCTTGTTCCCAAAGGAACCAGCCTCTAGTACACCTGTGAGTCAGGATTTGCGTGTCTCACTCTCTGGCTAATCACAGGCCAAGCCTCGCTTGCTTCAATTGGCTCTTCGCGGATATCGCCAGTTGCCACAATTCGAGCGTGGCAAGGATATACATTTCGCACCTAATTTCAGGACCTCGATGTCCTGTGATTCTTGAACTGATCCTTGTGTTCTGTTTGAGTCCTTCAATACACAGTGCCCTTGCACTCGTCATTTGTATCTTGCGTTCACGTATCTCGTTGTCTTTGGGATTGCGACCGACTCACTTTCACTTTTTGCACAGATCGATTCTCTCTCGTTTATAGGTTCGCGCAGACTCGCTTATATATTCACACAGCCCTCGCCTTGTGCTGCTGCGATTCTTTTATAGGCCTTGGCCACCTTTTGTTTGTACTGTACCAAGCTGTACTGGCGTGATCTTTTTGGGGGCGTGATGCTTTTGGTAATTTTCCACTGCCTTTTTGCTGGCGCTAACCATTGTCTGCCGTCAGTGTGAGTATGGACAACAATATTGCGCCCACAATACTCCTCACACACTAACGGCACATGTCCTAATGGACATGTGTATCAGACACGCTTAAATGGCTGAACACCTGCGTTAGAAAGAGAGAGGGCGAAAGAGAGCGAATTCGCCGCAACTGCATCAGGCCCAGATTTCGACCTGATAGACAGTTATTGAGAGGAGCGCATATAACATTTTATGTACACGCAAAATTGAGGAACTTGTGTGCACTTCTGATTTTTAAGCCCTAAGGTCCTTGTGGCGGCGGTATTTTAAGAGGGCTACCAACAAGTTGCCTTTCAAATTTGGTGACACTATAATGAAATATAGGCGGGGTGCTTGAGATGGGCGTAGCATATGCCGATTGTTGAAGGACATCGGTAACAACCTACCAACTCAATTTGGTGACTGTAGCTTTAAAATTGTGGAGGATATGTGGCTTTATCGATTTGATATTGTCGATTGACACTTTGTCTGCCGTCGGCACAAGTTTCAAGGCTCTAGCTTTAAGGGGGTCGAAAACAGTTGCGTTCATACAGACGGATAGACAACATAAAAGCATGATTTTGTACAATGTCCAAAGCCAGGATAAAAAACAAGGAACCACAAAAAGGACAACAAGTGGCGGCAGCAAATATACGACTGAGCCAGAGGCTGCGTAGAACAATCTTATTTTATGCATAGCCCGCATATCTAACCGGCTGCTAACAAGCGCTCCGACTGCATGTAAATCGCTTCGACAGGAAGGGCGCAGCTTTGGCAGATAGTTTTGGTTCCAATTATTGTTGTTAACCCCCGCCGCGCAAAGAGTTAGAATGTGAACAATAACGGTGAAATAGACTAAAATTTTTGTTAATATGCCAATTATATTTTGTATGTCTACTTTTATTCATGTTAAAATGATTGTTTATTATTACTTTATTATCACTTATCGTTTATTAGTGTTAGAGCGAAGATTCCACGTGCCAGGGAATGCCTGGATAGGAAAATATAAAGAAGTACCACCAGCGTTGTGTACTCAACAAAAGTTTATTTAAGACTGACGCAATGCTGGACTCAAACATATTTATAGATGCACGGTTGCATTGAATTTAAATTAAAAAATTTTAAAAATTGTTTTTTTTTTGTTGTTTTTGTTATTTCTTTTAATTACTTTTTATATTTATTAATTAGAGGAGTGTCTCAGGCCTGCAAATATTTCTGATTTCATCAAATTCGGTACATTTCGTAGAAAATAAACGATTAAATAAACAGCTTTTTTTGGGAAAATAATGCGCTGCATCGTTAAGCTTATTGAGCTTCATAACTTGACTTAAGCAATTTAGAAATAAAATACTTTTTGTGGTAGGTTCACAATCACATTTTTGAGATTTTGGTACAGCCTTTCTTTAACCATTTCTCTACCCTCGACAATCACAGTACTACTCAGTTCGGTCTCCACATTAAAATTGAGTTTATTGCAGGTAAAGATTATGTTAATTACAGTTGTTACAGCGCTTCTTGTACTCTCGCTGAATACAACCGTGTACGTTATATTGCATGCTGATATTTGCTTAATGCTATCAGTACTCTGCCTAATACATTATTGCGAACAAATTAATGACAACTGAAAAGTTGACAGTTTCAATTTGTTGAGAAATTAGATTTGCTTACATGTCAGTCATAATTTGTAAAAAAGTTGATCGAATTTGTCTGGAAATCATTTGAAATATTTCTTAATATTTTCCCTAGTAAGAACATTGTTTTGTTCAAATTAAAAACGAGTGGAACATTTTTGCAATACTTCTAGAATAAAGTAAAAGCAATGGACAGACACACAAGACATAAATGGTTTTTTGCATTCACAGTTTTTATTATACTGACATGCGTGTTTTTGATGATTACCTATTCGGGCTTTGAGCACGAGTCGACAAATGGGAAAAATCTTCTACTGATAATACTGATTGTATTGTTCTTCCAAACAGTAATCGCAGATCCAATTAAATATCTAATAATTTCCATTGATATGGCTTTTTGGCCACGAAGCATGGCCAAGCATCGCAAAGACACAAAAGAAGACGAAAAGGACTATAACCGCCTCAATTTCCTCAAGCAACGGCTGAGCAGTATGCGCGTTCAGATGCTGATCACCGAGCGCTACCGCAACCAGACCTTGAACCATGAATACAAGGATATTGTAAAAGATCTGTTGCTCTATGGGAAGTACTTTCTCATCTTAATCTGCGTGGTGGTGTTGCCACGTGACCAGCTAATGTACTACAACACGGCCAAAATGAAATATCTGCTCATGCGTAATCATTCCGAATATATTGGACTAAAGGAGATTAATCACCTTAATCAGCTTTTCGATTTTGTAAAGTCATCGCTAGTCGATGCCTTCAACGAAGGTACGAGCGAGGGCGCATCCTGGGTCCACTCCGAACAAAATAAAATACTTGGCGTCGTTCGGCTGCGCCAGTTGCGCCTGGCCAAAGAGGACTTCGGCTGGGGTGTTCCCAAATTTACAGATCTTATGTATATGCCCGGCTGGAAGTTGCCTTACCAACGACTGCTCTATACCCACAAATATTGGCGCGTCTACGATCCGTGGCTACCCATAAATGGGCAACACGATTTTACATCCAGCGTACTTCTAAACTTTGATCACGTTGGTAAATTTCTGTATTATCCGGAACTTTGTGGGTACGTCGCATTGCTTGCCCGCAGCAGGCAGAACAGCATGAAAATACTTGATTTTCTTACTGATAACCAATGGCTTAACTATAACACGTCAGCGGTATTTATGGACTTTACCCTCTACAATGTGGATGCAGATATGTTCAGCGTGTGCACATTGCGAATGGAACAACTGCCATTTGGCAGTGTTATACCAGATGTGACATGTGAGAGTATTGCGATGATTAATGATGCATTGCAGCTACACTACATCGTGATCCTGGTGTTGGTCGTCTACTTGGTAGTCGTATTACAGTTCATTCAGGCATTCATCGTGAACTTGTGGTATCAGCCTGACAAGCTGAAGAGCATGTGGTACAAACTGGACTTGATAATTGTTCTTCTCAATGTATTTTTGTTATTTGTTATCATCGTACGTTTAATACTGATATCGTCGCTGCTGAAGAGTTTGGCGTTCTCCAATAAGATGTCATTTCTCGACTTTCGAAAGCCGGCGCGCTTGTATATGCTGACAAACATATTGACTGGATTTCTAATCTGCATAACTACGCTGCGATTGTGGAAAGTGTTGCAGTTCTCGAAAGTATTTCAGCTATTTACGAACACCCTGTATCTTGCCTGGAAGGCTTTGGCCATCACTGCCCTGGCAATACTAATCATCTTAATGGCATTTGGCATTGCGTTTACTATCATCAACGGCAATAACAGCCCCCACTTTGTTCAACCGGTAAGCAGTGTTATTACAGCATTGTGCTTCTCGGTTGGCTTCAGTCAGCAGCTCAATCCATCGGATCTCTTTCATGGTGGCAAATTTATTGGCATGTTAATGTATGCTGCCTTAGGATTTGTGGTTTCTGTGCTGCTAGTCAATGTGTTTATTACAACGATCCATGATTATTTTACGATTGCAAAGTCTGAGCGCAATGCCAATTTCAGGCGAGAAATCACATTTTGGCAATTCTTGCGTGTGGAATATTATGGTGTCTATAGATTCTATAAGTCGTTGCCTTTTATAAGAAAGGAATACAAACGCCACAATCGTACTGTGGCTGAGAATATCCAACACACCTTGGATAACGTCGATAAACTTGCACAAATGAAAGCTCGAGCCAAAAGGCGTGTATTGAGCAGCACGGAGAAAGTTGAGGAATATAAGGATGAGGAAACTCGACAGGCAGAGTACAGAGAACGTGTGGAGCACATGTATGCGATCGCATCTATTTTGAATATTCAAATGGAAATACTTGAACGTCTGATATTTGATAGCGACAAAAAAAAGAAAAGGGAGAGGAAAAAAAATCGACGCGATCAAAATCCTATGCAAAACAACCGAGAAGGTTTTAATGATAAAAATGATAGCGTTGTGTAATTGCCTAAATACATATATTCGTCTAATAATATCATTCAAAAACATCTTTTCATTAATATTTTAAGATTTTACAAATGCTCTTAATTTTAAATAAGATTTTGTAGTGTACTCGTCGACAGAACGTTCGTAGAGGACATCAAGATTGATAGTCGGGTCATACAAGGGTTTGTAAAACGTTTACCTAAAATTCGGGGAACATTTATGATTATTGAAGGACACAGCGGACGAAATACTCTGGACTGTAGCTCTTTTGGGAGGGGTGGGGTTTTGCCAGTCCTCAATAGTGAACATACAATTTTATTATTTTTAGGATTCTCACTGAAACTAGGAGACGATTGTCAAAAAAATGTGCATATAAAGGAAAACACAACAAAATACTTATGATCAAGCGGACCAATTAATGTTGCTATAGGCTTTCATCTGTCCGGGGTGTTTTAAAAACGGGCGAGGTCTGCGGTGGTGGCCGACACTCGCGTTCATACCCTAACCCAACCATGATCTTTGAGGCGACGTCAATCGATGATCCTTTATGTATCCTTATCCTAATTCACTATATTACAATGCCTCCCAGGAACGGTCACGATTTCTGGCATTTCATTTCGCAATTAATTTCCAGGTTTATTCATATCGATAACATAACATTAGAGGCGAAATAGCGTCAGCCGCATAATAGGATTTTCTTAATTAACAAAATTACTGCTAATAATTAAAAAAAATAATTTAAACATGCACCTAAAAAAATGCATGAAAAAAATAATTATCTTAATAATAATCAAACAAAATTTGAATTAAACAAAATGAACTACACAAATTAATTTAATTAACAAAATGAATTTGAAAACCCTGTTGATTTTACAAAATTAGCGAAAAAAGTACGCTAAACTACGTTAGTTAGTTCAATAAATAATTTTAATTTAACAAAATTAATTTGAGAAACCTGCTAAGCTCACAAAATGAATGGAGAAATTATGCCAAATTACTTTCATGATTTAAATTAATAAAATTTTAATTTAATATAAAAAATATAATTTAATATAAATTAAGAGAAAAATTAATAATTAATAAGGGATTTCAATTTAAAAAAATTAATTCAAATTATTAAACTACAAAATTAATTAAGGTTAGCAAACGAATTAAACTACAATTTTATATAATTCGGACTGAAAAGTGAACATAACCCTATCAGAAGATAATTAAATTGAAAAAAAAAATATATTTAATATTAAGGGGTGTGCGCACTGTGCCCGGGAATTGTAATAACTATTTATTTATTTTATATTTGACAGAAAAAAAATTTTGCGAAAGTGGCCGAACCGATCTCGCAGGACCTATATTTCATACGGTCAGTGCCTGCTAAGCTTGCCTTAGCTGTTCGCATTGCACGAGCTTAAAGGGAGTGTTGGTTGTTTTTGTAAGGTGTTGTTCAGTATGTATATATAGATTTAATATATTTTTAGTTAGCCGATATGCACGTAATTGGTTTTTTTATTATTCTTCTTTTTATTTTTTATTTTTTGTTTTGTATTTTTTTATTGGCAAATGCAATATTTAAAGAGGCAGGCAAATAAAATTACGCTTTCACCCAACTGATACGGCATATATTCTTTCCCATACGGGTGGATGTAACCACAAGTGCGGAAAGCTTTATCGGCACAACTTAATATGCCTTAAAAAAACAATAGTAACATATAAAAGAGCTTTACACTTACATATGTCCAGCGTTGGAAAGTTGGATGTGTGTTGGTACGTTAGTGGTTGGTCTATATATATTTTAAATAGGTTATGCTTATGTTATTATATGTTGTTTTTTTTTTAAATTTATTTATTTATAAATTTTTTTTTTAGGCTACCGTTCGAATTATCCAAGGAATTATTACGGGTAATTTTAAAATTTTATAAAAAAATTAAGGAAGAAATAAAATGTCGAGAGCGTCAGTTTCGCTCGACGGCGCGTTGTGATGCACTGCTGTGACGTCAGCGGATAGAGATTTAAAAGCTTTGGCGGAAGCTTTGCGCACGCGCAGCTAGGCGGTCGAACTTGTGGAGAAAACTGCCAATGGGCACCAGCAAAAATAAATTCCAATTTTGAACTCGCACACTTGCGTAATACTTGCATACTGCGGGATTTTTGTTCATATTTTGGCTGAATTGTGTGCACCACATTGAAACTTGTTACTTATATTTTAAGGCGCGCGGATATAACCTCACACGTGTGCCCACCGGGGAGCAAACCAATGTGGAGTTTGTTGATTTGGTTGGGGTATAACATCGAGGAAAAAAGGCTGAGCTTTTCCGCCATTAGATCTTTTATAAGCAATTCCAAGAAAAAGCTCCGAAATGTGAATGTTCTGTTCCTTACATTTTGAGAGCCGAGAGTGATCAAGTTTTGCAAGATTTCTTGCCAGCGCATCTCAAGGCTAGTTACTAAGAAACTTAAAGGAAATTTTGTCGCCTGCGATCGATCAATCGCAAACAATATGCGGTACAATTTAAAAATGACGAGGTTATGATAGTAGGAGGCTTATGATAGAGTTGGTTCAACAGGTAAAAAACCAGAGTTACTTGTGCGATTGGTTTATATATTAGAAAACAATAAGCAAAATATTTTTAAACATGGATTTACAGAATTATACAGTGAATTTACTCTGATTCCAACAAATAAACTGATTATAGCAAAAAGAAATATTTTTGCAAATCAAAATAGCATTTAAGCTCAGGGATAAGTTTACATAGAAATAAATAGATGTCTATCTGCACATATAACATGGTTGGATTGACTTGCCTGTTAATGCTGATCAATAATATTATCAAATATTTATTTATGTATAGTTTATGCCAGATCTTTGCACAATTTTATGGTATGTTTTGTACTAGATTTTAATAGACATAGTGTTTTTAAATATGTTATGAAGCTTTTTTCATAATGTAATAGGACAACAACAAATGAATTTTTCAGGCAAACCGAAGATTACATACATTTGAAGACCGGAGTAAATCTGCCGACATTCAAATATTGGACCGAAGTTCGAATATTACTATTGTTCATTTAGATGAAATATATATAAATATATACTCACTCCAAGATAACTATTAAGTAATAATGCTTTCATATTTGTATTTAACGATCGTTTTGTTTTATTCTGTTAGAAAATTATTTTCGAAGCGCACAATCTCGTCGTCTAAAAGCAACTAACAAGAGGCGACACTTAATGTCTCGGAAGAAACATGTAAATATATGAAATTTTTGGAAACAGTGTGCACGGAGCAACGAACAATTTTTATAGCTAGAGTTGTGGAAAATTCATTTGATCACTGGATTACCCAACTCAAATAAAATACAGACAATATTTTTAGTGCAACAAATTAATGAGGAACATGTGTAAAATGCTGTATTTTCAACACGGCAAAACATTACGGAGCATCATCAAATTCAAGTGGTCTTTGCCGTGGATAATTTTTTTATTATAATTAATTTTGTTTTATGTATTTACTAGGTGCCATGGCTTAATAGTGAATTTATAGATTTTTTGTATTATTTCTGTAATGTTAATTTTTTTCTATGTTCGACTATAAATTGTTTTTATTTTTCGAGTGTCACGTGGGCATATAATTTTGTTGGCACCTGTAAGCATTACAATCTAATTCAAGTCAAAAGCTTACGATTGGCGTCACCTATTGCGCATGCGCCACCGACTTTGAGCTTTCAAAGCTCCAAAGATAAATTCGAAGCCGAAAGCTTCAAGCTTAGCTTGGGAAAAGCTGCAGCCTAAATCGTATAAAAGTTCAAGCTGATGTGTATATGTATATGTATCAAAGTTTAATTATTAGTGCGGATCTGGGTTTTTATATTTTGTGGTTATTTTTTGTTACGGTTTGTGTGCTTCTCAAACTTGTCTTTTAAATTTGTTTGCGCTATCAGCTTTTTGATAGCTTTATTTTTAATACTTAATAATACTAAGTTATTTACTTTATAAAATTTATTTAATATATTTAGACTAGAAGCCTAGCTTAGTCTTTTCACCAACACTATGTTTATTAGAGGCGTGAAGCCAATTGCTAAACCTTTTCACAATGAGATTAACTAACGATCGATTAGCTAGAGTTTTGTGAAATGAGCGAGCGCCCTTTTTCGAGAGATAGAGAGAGAGAGAGTGTTGCACAAAGAGAACCGTTAAGCCACACAGGCGACAAATTTATATATATATAGATCATTAATGTGATTGTAACTTCGTTGCTGCTGCTGCCAACATACTCCCCCGTTGAAAGACTTCCTCTCAACAGAATCTTTAACAGGCAGCAGGCACATCTTTTGACAGCTTCTTGCTAGCCCGACTTTTCTAGTCATCCTCATCCTCGACTGGATTGACTGCCTGATGATTCGTTGGCTCCAACTTGGTGGCTTCCAACTCGGCATCATCACTTCCATTGGCTCTGCGGCGGCTGCTGCTCTTTCTGTGCCTACTGTTGGATTCGCTGACTGTGGCTCTTCATCTGGAACATCCTTGTCGTTCATTTTCTGCTCATTGTTTTTTTTTTTTTTTCTTCCTTTTTTCTGTCCTTGGGTGTTTTTTTTTTTCCCCCCCTGTTTTTTTTTTTCGTTTTTTGGCCCCCCATAAAAAAGGCCCCCCCCCTGGGCGGCTTCCTTTGGGGGCCCCCGAAAGTATCTTCTCTAAAGCAGGCGGCCCCCACTTTTTTGTGGCCCCCCCCTGGGCCCCCCTTTTAGGGGTGCGGGGGGCCCCCACCATTTTTTTGTTTTTTTTTTTTTTTCCCCCCCCCCGGGGGTTTTTTCCTCCTCCCCCTTTTTGTTGGTTTTCTCCTGCTCCAGTCCGGGAGAAACTCCTCCTTTTTTTTCTCTTTTTGGGGTGTGGTGTGTTTCCCTCTTTTTTTGGTGGGGTTGTTTGTTTTTTTTTTGTTGGGGGGGGGAAAGAATTTTTATATACCCCCCCCACTACTGTTGTTTTTGGGGGGGGGGGGTGTGGTTTTTCTCTACCTCTTTTTTGAGTTGCAGTTGCAGCTACTCCTGTAATACCTGCTCCGTTCAGCACTGGACACTTCCCCCCCCCCCCTTTTTTTCTTTTTTTTTTTTTTTTTTACCCCCCTTTTTTTTTTTTTGGGTCCCCCCCCTCCCCCCGTCCATTTTGGTAGGGCTCACTTCAGAGTTTGGAGCAGCAGTGTTGCCACTGTTGATGGTCAACAATGGTGCATCTGCATCCAATTCCATGGGCTGCATTGCCCTTTTTTTTCTCCCCCCTCCCTTATTATCCTCCCAACAAGTCGTAGAACATACTGGCTCCAATCAGCAAATCCACACGCTGAGGTTTGTAAAAAGTTGGATCAGCCAGTCGTATGCTATCGGCATAGTCCGATACTTCAGACTTGAAGGAAATTTCCACCGTATGACCTTCATTACGAATATTAGTGTCACCAAGACCGGACACTATAGTTGTAGATCGAGTTTTTTTTTAACTGTAACTGTTGCGCCAAACGAGAGGTGACCAGATGCAGTTGAGAGCCCGAATCCAGTAAGGCTCTGCATGGAAGAAATAGGCCCGAACAACTTTTCACTAGAATGACAGCCGTCGCCAGTAGCACGACTTCTGATGATCCATCGTGTGCAGCAAGAGAAGCCGATGGTAAAATGAAAGACGAAGACGCAACGAGAGCAGAGTCAGATGATGCATTGGCGGGCTGCTGGGAGATGCTGTCATCAAAGTTCTGCAGGGTATGATGCCTATTGCCACTGACATGACAATGTACACTGCTGCATGGCTGCGAATGGTGTCCGAACTTTAAACAATTAAAGCAAAGAGCCCACTTATTTTCTTCCTTGTGTCGCAGTGAGGGAGACAAATTTCCAAATCTGGTGCATGCATAAATAGTAAGGCCGACACAGTTATAAAATGGGCACGGAGAATTGTTAGATTGTGATGCCACATAGGCTCGTATACTGTGGTTAGGATTTTGATTGTTTTTTCCCACCTGAGAATTAAAGAGAATGATATCCCATTGCATGCTCCAAGTTCTCTAACTTCTGGCATCGCTTCTCCAAGAATGTGTAGAATTCTTGAGCTGAGGGTATTTGGTCCATCGGTGCAGACTCCTCCCAACAAGTCTGAGTAGTGATGTCCAGTTTTTGGAGCAGCATGTGTATGACCATGCATCCAGATATTTCCTGGAAGATTCCCAATGACTCAAGCGCGCGCATATGGGAGTTGACCTTGTCTGAAAACTCTCGAAGTTTCCCTGCTGAAGTCAAATCCATCTTCTTGAGCCCAATATTCTCTTTGATATGTGATTGGAAAACTAATCGCTTGCTGTAAAAGCGTTTGCTTAGAATGTCCAAAGCCGCACGATAATTTGCACTTGATATTTCTAGCGAACGTACTGATTCTAAAGCTATGCCCGATAAACACGACCGCAAGTGCTGAAGCTTCTCAATGTCACTAAGCTGAGTGTATGTGTCAATAATTGAGTTAAACATGGATATGAAATTTGCATATTCCGTGTAACCACCAAAAAACGTATGCAGCTTGAGCTCCGGCAAGCGCCGTCGATGAGAACGATCAATATATATAGGAGCTGACCGTTTAGTTGCCGGCTCAAAATGTCGAAATGTTGACGATAAGGGACGCGATTCGAACATTTCAAGTTGCCTTTTTAAACGACATGCCACTTCTACAAACAGACTCAGAAAGTTTCTGCTTATCTCACTGCCTATATCATCGTAGTCAAGACGCTCCAGGCTGTCATGAGCAAGGTTAAATGAGGCTTCCGTTTTGCTTAAAAGTTCTAAGTTTGACCTTATCGTCGACACCGGCCACAAAACGTCTAGCCTCTGTAGCGCGGCGTAACTTGATTCCGCCTTGCGCTTATAATAAAAAATTTGTGCAGTCATTTGCCATTGGACGCGACTGTTGTTGTTCTTACGCTTAAAGCACATACAAATTGCTGTCAACTGCACAAAGTAAACCGACAGAACAAATGCACCGACAACGAAACGGTCTCTATATGCTCAATCGCCCACGCGCAGCTGCTTATGTACACGAAAAAAGTTCACAAAAGTTCAAAGAAAATCAGAGGCACACGAAGCGGCAATTATTTGGCGAACTTCTTTTGCTCTTGTCTTATTATTTAGTTGAGTATCACTCGAATCACTAATATTGTCTTGATTTGTATTATTGTTTATTAAACGCACTTTATGGTTTAATCACAACGATACACGAGCAAAAACCACTTTATTTAATATATTCAGACTAGAAGCCTGGCTTAGTCTTTTCAACAACACTTTGTTTATTAAAGTTTTGAAGCCAATTGCTAAACCTTTTTACAACGAGATTAACGAACGATCGATCAGCTAGAGTTATGTGAAATGAGCGAGCGCCCTTTTTCGAGAGAGAGAAAGAGAGCGCTGCACAAAGAAAGCTAAACGCCGGTTGCTGCAGCTACATAACCACACAGGGGGGTTATCTGGTTTTTTTGTGACTTTAACAAGGGCTTTTATTAGTCTTGCACTCATACGAAAATACACAGCCGGTCAATTATGGCATTAACAATTTTTTAATTTTTGAGTAGTGACGTGTTATTGTACGGTCAGCGGGCAGGGGTGGACCCACTCCTGCAACAAGCCGATCCGCAACAAATCATAAGTATATGGTGTATAACATCTGGCGGTCGCCGCTTTAGGGCAATGGTCATATATGAGTCGCCACTCCTAAATCTAACCGTGTAACGAACACGTTGAAGTGTGCAGCAAACTGGAGGCGTACTCTGCCTACAGAGTTGACTGTGCTCGGGGAAAATGGGGTGGATGCTTTTGCTGCCTAGTAAGCTGCCGTGTCACATAACTAAAAAATAGTAGGCAGAGTGCTAAAGGAACGGAATGAAACAACCAGACAGAAAGCTAACAGAATCCACTAATGATCGATAGTTAGATCGAAGAGATGTTGATGTTCTTCTTCATTTACCCGCCCAACCTGTAAATACTAATATTCGGTGCCTTTACCCTATCAATGATGCAAAGCCATATTTATCTCAGGAGTCCATTAAACTAGTTTTAATCCATAATTAATTCCTTATATACTTCATAATGGTGGTTTTAGTTCCATTATTTTTAACATTAATTTTAGGAGTTTTACTTAATTACTAGTTTTCAAGTTTAATGCTTGGGAATGTTACTTATTTACTGATAATTCATTCAATTTCTTTTTCTTCAATTTAGATCTAATAATATTCAATAATAAACTTATGCTACAAAAGCTCTTGGCTATATATATAGATATATGTATTTAATTTGAGTTAACTAAATCAGGCAGGTACTTACATATGTCTTTGTATACCACATCTGTTATATGATCATTATTAGTTGGTTATTTATATAACTTACAATCTCTGAGTGCGGTCACGCCGTACTTACAGCACCAAAACAGTTGTGTTAGTAGTCCATCGTAGTCGACAGGCCTGAAGACGGATGACGTTGCTGTTTGAACTTCAAAACGGATTAGACAATATAACAGCTGATATCACATATACATACCATACCAAGTTTAGTTAATGCATTATAAAATTAAATATTAATTCCTCACAAACTCATTCTATGTTAATTTAAACTAAAGTTTAATAAAACGTAGAGTTGTGTAGCCCTGTAGAGTTCAGTCCTAAATAATCGAAGTTTTGCAGTGCGGTCACTATTTCTTCACGATGATTCGGTCAACCACCGCTCACATATGATCCGATACTTGTACCAGTCAGAGACTTCGGCGCTGACCCCTCTTTAAAAGACTGGTCCCGCTGCACGTGAGCACTGTACTGATGTATTCCCCGTATTGCACACCCAACAGATTAACAGCAAGTTAATTCTTAACGGCAGCAATACGACCATAGGACTGAAACATGTGAATAGACTCGATCAACTCTATCCGTTCATTGAGATCTCACTTGTGAAGGCCTTCGAAACGAATGCCACCAACATAGGAAACCTTCATATTTTGTATGGCGATCACACTAGCATGTTGGGAGTGGTGCGACTGCGTCAGCTGCGCAGAAAAGAAAATTCGCACACGGGCTGGAAACCCGTCGAGTTTGCAAATCTCGACTATAAGCCCAAATGGAAGTTCCCTATGAGCGAATATCATACACAGACAAATATTGGCGCATCTATGAGCCCTGGCTGCCCATTAGTCCGACTTACAGTAGAACTGATAAGTTTTTTTTCAACTATAACTATCCCGGTTATTTACAGAGCTATCCGGAGATGGAGGGCTATGTAACACTGCTCTCAAACAGCTATGACAATAGTATGAGCGTGATTGAATACCTCCAGGAGAAGCATTGGCTTACGTGGAAGACAACGGCAGTTTTCATGGATTTTACTCACTTCAATGCCGATGCGAATATCTTCACCATATGCACTTTACTCGTGGAACAAACGCCTTTTGGGACTATTCTGTCCAACGCAAGGATAATCAGTGCAAAACTGCATTTCGTTGCGCAGCTGGGAAAAGGTGGCCTCATCGTACTGATCATCTATATAATTGTGGTCATACAGTTCTTCAAGGCTTTGGTTATGGTGGTATGGTATGAGCCGATCAAGCTGCGCAGCATGTGGACCAAGTTGGATTTGATTATCTTTGTGCTCAACATCACAGTGATTATTCTAGTAAGCGTACAGGAATTTATGGTATCGCAGCTGCTTGCAAAGGTCGAGAGTTCCAGCAAACTCGAGTTTCTCGACTTCCGTATGCCTACCCGCCTGAATGAATGGACCCGCAACATGCTTGGCTTTCTTGTCTGCCTTACCACCATGCGTTTGTGGCGTGTGCTGCAGTTTGCCAGCGTCTTTCAACTATTCGCTTCCACAGCCATGATAATTCTAACATTTTTAATGGGGTTCGGCATTGCAGCTGTCACTATAAATGGAAATATTGCGGATAGCTTTAGAGCATGAGATCGTCTATTAAAGAGAAAGTCTAATTATATCCAACAGATGATGTTTAAGATTCTCATAATTAGGTGAGATAGCCTATTAAAAAAATATATATTTAATCAATCAAATTAAATACACTGATACAAAATAATCCAAATTTTCAACATATCATTTTACCTGAAGCCAATAAGAATGCACAAAAGAGTTTCTCAGGTCAGCTCATGAAGATACTCGACTTTCTCGCTGATAACCAATGTGCAAATTGGGAATGAAACAACTGCTCTTTGCCAGTGTTATATCACATTTGACATCGCGATTCTGGTGTTGGTCGTCTTCTTGGTAATCTTATTACAGTTCATTCACGAATTCATCGTGACGAGCTAAAGAGCATTTTGTACAAACTGGATTTTGTCATTGTGCATTTCAATTTATTTTCGTACGATTAATACTGGTATCATCATTGCTGAAGAGTTTGTAGGGATCCAATAGTAATTGTTTAAAGGCGAATGTTCGTTTAATAAAATCATTCGAATCAATATATTCCTTAAAACTTTTGCATTTTACAAATGCTCCCAATTTTAAACAGGATTTTTAATATTATCATTTTTCTCTTTTAAATGACATCTTCAAAACAACTAAATAATTATGCGCAAATAGTTTCTATATTTGACTTGAAAAGGCTTTTAAGGCAATTTGGAGATGGCTTTGTTGGACTTGTTTGCAAAAACTTGCGGAACCTGAGCCTGGCTGTGGGCCAATAGCGAAATGACTTATGACTAGCGAACCATTTCGGACTTACTTGAAAGAGCATTCAGCTCGCACAATTGTTATGGGTTGGCAAATAAAAATTTAATACCTCATGCTTTTAGGCTGCTGCTGTAGAAAACTATTTGAGTTGCCCAGTTTCCAGTTCGCAGTTCCGAGTACCCAGTTCTGTGTAATCGGAGGCAGTCGTTTGTGTTAGACCCACACTAATAACTTTACACACATTTTGATCAACAGCAAATGTAGCTAAACTAAACAATTGCGAACGGCGCTAAACTTTTGCCAGTTAAGTTACACACCCTCCCTGCAGACAGACTGTCTGCTACTTTTTTGGTGCACACTTACACATACATGCACATACGTATGTACCTAATATGTGCACATATGTGTGTACCAGTTGGGGAATTGAGTAAACTTTTATAATTATTAGCAACAAATGAGCAGTGACAGAGTGCTTTTGCAATAACTGTAACTTTTTCCAGACAGATCCTTTCTGGCCAGCAAAAGAAAAAAAGGATACATCTCAAATGATAGCTGACTGTTACGGCTCAATTTAAAAGTTTTAACCTGACTACTAGCACGTATTTACCTAGGACCAGACACATAAGAAATAGTGTAACAATTAAAAGCCCTGACAAGTTTAAAATGTCCTGAGTGAGGGAGAAAAAAGTTCTTAATTTTAGATAGAGCTTAGATAGAGCTTACCCGGTTTTAATAGAATTTGTTTATGTCAAAAAAAAAAAAAAGAACAAACCGCATCGAGAACATCTTTAGAAGTATTTTAAAAATGTATGGTGCAATTACAAATATGTAATAATGCTGTAGTAGATTGAGCTCGATTGCAATATGCCCTGAATACAGTTGTTAAAGTATTCAAGACTTATTGCCGAATTTCCCTTTAAAATGTTGCACACTAATAGGTGCGTAAGTGCACTCATATCTTATGGCTTGCACTATTTATATTCTATATCTGCAACACGGGGGCAGATCCAAATTTTATCCAAAATCTCTGGCTTTACAGTTTCAATGGATACATTTTCGTAAATATTATGCGATGACTAATTCCTGCAAGTAAACTTGAAGCTAAAAATCTTGAAACTCCTTCAGTACTATAATCGGGTGTATTAAATATGTGATTGCCCAAAATTGATTATTTTGCTTAAAACATAATATAATAATTATTCATTGTATGCAGCTTTAATGCATTGATTGAGTATTGAGTTTTCACAATGATATTGAAGATAATAAACATAAAATATATTTATGTTTATCTTCAGACCTTTAATGTAGAAAATTATTATTAATTTCAAATTAAAAGAAAAATAAATAACTCGAATGTAATTTAATTGCAATTCTAAGGCGCTAATGTGCATTGTACTACGACAACACTGGATAACTGTGCACCTCCTTGGTGATACCACAAATGAAGTACTCTCGTCTAAGCAATTGTTAGGGACCGTAGATTAACAATCATTATGCCGATTAAAGATTACAATCTGGACCAATTGGACGATAGGGCAGCAGAGGGCATTTGGAATAACTGCAAGGCTTGTTGACCTGAGTTGCCCAAATTGCTTTGCAGAAAATGAGCATTGTCGCTGTCGAGAGACCATCCCAAGCACAAGCAACTGATTAAAATCAGACTCAGACGGAAGAAGCCTGCGAACTTGGAACAATACAAAAGAAAGTGCAGCTGAATCATTCCAATTAGGAATTGATTGATATCATCAAGCAGCTAGATATTTTGCCTAACTCTCTAATTAACAAATATATTTAATATGTAAGAGCTTTTACAAATATACGGGTGACTTGTTTCTTGAATACAATGTAGCAGGCCTTCGAATTGGATAATGAATGGATCAGTAATCAGTGCTCATCAAGGCAATGCTCGGTGAAGTTCAAGAGAATTTTTGGAAATGGTTAACATACAATTTCCGAGCCAAGTTAGCATAGAGAAGTTTACAGTTTAATTTGATAGCCATGTTAATATGAGGATTATCGGTGTCGCTCAGATTAATAAGCTTGGAGCCCATTACCAGTACTAGCATTAAACTCAGAAAGGAATCACTTGAAGAGTCGCGAGTTCAAATCGCCTTAAAATATTAAGTTTTTTTTTGTAAATTAATTGTAACTATCTTAATTGTTTGTATATGTGATTAATAATTAACAAACATGTAAAAATGATATGGTCGAGTCAGTTCGACTACGACATACCCAGCTGTATATTATATTTATTTAATATTATAGTTCTATTAAAAAATGTAACTTTAGAAAGTTTTACACACACAAATGTAAGCGTTAACCCAGCTGTACATAATATAATTAACAATATAGTTTTATTGAAAGTTTCTCCTTAAAAAGTTTTACACACTCCCTGCAAGCAGGACTTTTGGCAGACAGAGCTAATGCATAGATTTACTCACAAGGCCGTACTAAAATCACCGGCTTGCGACAAACGTTTGAATATACATATATACCAGCATCTGTACACGAAATCGTAGGTAACTGGGGTGAAAGGGATTCTTATCCGATCTTGATAACATTTTTCGGTTGATCAGTAATATGCATATCCTTGTCATATTCTAATTACACGTCTCGGCCTTTAAAAATATGCTTTTATTGCTACCGGAAATCTAAATGTATCGATGTTCAAGATAAAGGATTTCCGGTAGATTATATATATTACATCAGCTATAAAAATAAATAAATATTTTTCTGCCTATGGTATAAAAGGACATATATTCCAAATTTGAAGTCTTTTGCTGTTATAGTCTCTGAGATCCGCATGTTCATACAGACCGACGGACAGGCAGACATTGCTATATCGACTCGGCTGTTGATCCTGATCAAGATATACATATTCTTCCTTATGGTACCGGACATGCTTCCTTCTGACACAAAACCATTATAGCCTTCTTACCCATTTTACATGGATTAAATTTTAAACAAACTTTAAAATTCAGGGCGAATTTTTAATAGTATGATATAACACTCTACTTTAGTAGTAATCTGAGATCATAAAATTAATAAGCAGTTGCACACTCTTCGAATATTAGATCTGAGTTAGCTGTTCCCTATGATAACCCAACAAACATTTTGCTCAAAACTTGTATTCTCTTTGAATTCAAAATTAAAGAGAGTCGCCTCAAGAGCTTTGGCTGCAAAGAGCGCGCTGAATGGAAACTCGCACATAAAGCTCGTCTCTCGCATGCTCTGAGAGCGCAAACTTTGGCAGCTGGCAGGCAGCGAGCTCGCAACGCTTTTTGGGTTAGAGTTGCGAGTGCTGGTCATAAAATATATGTCGTACTTTGGCTTCAGCATTTGCCGAGCGCAGGAATTTAATTCATAAGTTAAGTGGCGTGTCCTCGGCCGTATACAGACAAGGTTAAGTGTGGCTCGTTGCTACTGCAGCCGTAGTAGAAGCAATAGCAAACACGTCAGAGTCGGGTCCTGAATTTTGAATCCTGCCGCCCACTCGCTCGTGTCTTAGCTATAGCGTGTGGGAGTTGCTTTGAGAGTGGCTCCCATTTCTATAATATTTCTTATAAGGTTTTGCTGCTTGAGCACGAAACCGCATCCCTTAAAAGCACAGCCCCCGACTCCAAACTTTTAAATGGCGGAGCCTTTTTGTTGGCAAGTTTTGGTGCGCTTTAACAATTGCCTGGAAATATAATACATGGCTCATCGTCTGGGGGGTTGCTTGAACTTTGTTGTTTTTGTGTTTTCTTGGGTTTTTTTTTGGCCTTTGTATTCAGTCTTAAAATACTTTTGATTGAATCTTTTTTGCTGTGTACGCGCGACAAACAAATTAAGCAAATGACACCGTGGACAACATAAATCACAAGCGAAACCGGCAAATTCAGCCCTGACCAACAACAACATAATCAGACCTTGTCACGCCCACCGCAAATGCAAATGTGGACAACGGCTAAGCCGCCCCCATGATTTGCATAAAGAAATAACCCAAAACAGTGGCTGGGAAATTTTTAAGGCCTGACTGACCTTTAGCCCCGTGTGGCAACCTTTTTATTTGCATGACACGTTTCAACAAACTACCCTGCCCAAAAAACAAAAAAAAATAAGAAACACTCAACACCTACAAATAAACCAAAACGCAATGCAGTAAATATTGAAGTAATCAAAAATGCAAATGTCACTACGTGAATTGTAAAATGTAGTCGGCTTTGTAAAGTATCTCGTTGCCTGGCATTACCAGAGCTCCCAGCCGATGGGTCGCAATAATTCGGCTTGCAATTCCAGAGCACATTAATTCCACTCGCAGCTGTTTATCCCAAAAAGTTAATTGCTTTCCCGTACCCTCTATTAATCATATTCCATAATTTGTTTAGCCTAATTAGCGACCAGCTGATAAACAGACAACGATAGCAAGGACGATAAGCCAACCAAAGTTCGAAGAACGCGGAGAACTTGACTGGGTCATTAGACTCAAATCATATCCACTTTCCAACTGAATCATTGTCAGTCTTATGAAATCTTCAACTAGTTCATTAAAATTCATTGATTTGGATACGCAATTGGAGCTTTGAGAGAGAGTTTAATTTCTTTTTTCATTTTATTTAGCTACACTTATATTGAAAACTGAAAAGTCAAAGCTAACAAGTGAAATAAAATAAAGGAAATGAAAAGGCTGCCACCATTAGCCTTTATTTCTCTCCCGGGGCTTCAAGTATATTATATGTAGGTATCTATGTACATCAGCTGTTGAAATAATTAACTCATGGTTTGCTCTCTTCACACGAGTTTGGATGTACTTATGTCATATATTATATTCACGTTGTCGCGTGCCAAGATGAATATTAAAACAAATGTCGTTGACATCATTTAACAATTTTCTCTATTGTACAAGCGAAATTAACATTACGATTACAAATAGGCAGTGTACATACACACATTTACTTTTTGGCTAAGCTTTCGTCCTGCCTGCCTGTCCTCCATGCTCTGCTTGTTGGGATGGACGAGTACAGCAGTTATTCGGAGTTTCCGAGTTGGGCATCAGGTATTTTAATGCAAAATCCGCATAGCATTTCGAGCTGCAGAGTAACGAATTTTCCTGTAGTTATTTTCCCCGTTTAGCATTCGCTTTGCACTGCTGCCTCATGCTTGTTTTTGCCATTAATAGCAATATCAAGTGACAAACAAAATAGTAAAAATGCGAGGACAGATGGGTGAAGGAAAACTTTTAATTATTTGGTCGAGGTCGCAAAACTCGCACTGTTTTTCACCCAGCGCTGTTCGCAGTTTTTCCGATTTTGTGGTAGGATGCATGTGTGTGATGTGTTGTGGTTGCCCTCGAAAGGTAAATCAAATTACGCAGCTGGTGTCATGTTATTTGGTTTTTGTAATTAGAAGTAACTCCACTAGTTGCAACTAATCAAATTACAGGCACCTTGGAAACGACGAGAAAGGCCTGCACAAAAAATTGTGCCCATCTGGCGATGAGCTCATGTGCGACAACATATGCTAAGGACATTCCAGGACCTTCCAGCGCGTGAATCTGCAAAAGGCTTTTATCGTCTATAAGCAAGCACGAAAGCAAAAATGGCTTTTTAAAGTGTGCATCAATGCATGAAATACGCTATGAAAGCGTTTTAGATAAATACGCGAAACTAACAAACAACCATCTGCAAAAGCCATTCGAAAGGATAAGACAGCAGCTCTGTGCGTGTATATAAAAATGTGTATGTGTGTGTCTGTACAAGCGATACAGATCAAATAAATTGTACGCAGTTTAATGAATACCAAGTCTTTCAATTTTAATTCAATATGAATTCAAGTGCAGCATGATCTGACATAATATTAAAGCAGAAGCGGTGAAGTGTACGTCAGAGGAGAAGCATGATAAGCCAGAGGACTAGCCAAAGGAGCAGCAGCATACTGGGAAACCAGAGGAGCGGCCACTGGAGTAGCTGCATACTTGGCAATCACGGGAGCAGCAACTGGAGCGATCACTGGAGCATGGGCGATGCCATTGTAGTTACGGGCAATCACCTGGCTACTGGTGGCAGTCACAAACGGAGCAGGAGCAGCAACGACTGCAGCGGGTGCAGCAGCTACAATCGGAGCACTATAGGCCAACTGTTGGCCAAGGAGAAGACCTGGCTTGGCAGCAGCGCAGGCGATGATGGCAAAGATAACAGCAGCCTGAAGACAACTAAGTCACTTTCAAATTGTGCTCAAGTATCAATAAAACAATATGTCAACTTACGAATTTGAACATTTTGGTTATTTGGGATATGCTTGCAGCTCGATGAGTTGAACTTGTTCGATGGCATTTAATAGTTTTTGCTGCGCTATTTATACAAAAAGGCGACTACGATGTTGACCTTAAGTCTGCATTTCTGAAATTTGTGGCTACCACGACGCGTTATACATAAAACAATGGGAAATAACATGCGGAGTGGGCCATGCGAAGTGATAACGGCTACAAAATGTTTAATGTTAACTGTGTTTACAAACTGCCAACGCATTTCAATGAACCCAATGACTCACAGTTGGATGAAGACTATTTTGGTGTTTTGTGGTATAAATACTCGCTGGCAACTGTAGTTGGACATCACATACATAGTTTGCAGCTAACCCTACAAGCAACACAAGCCTCAAATCTTCAACATGTTCAAATACGTAAGAGCCAGAGAGGGAAAGTCCTTGTCGTGTGGCCTGCTTCTCTAACTTAACTGCCTCTGTTTTCATTTACAGACCATCGTTATCCTCGCTATCATCGCCTGCGCTGCTGCCAAGCCAGGTCTTCTCCTTGGTCAACAGTTGGCCTATACTGCGCCCGCTGCAGTTGTTGCTGCTCCTGCTCCGTTTGTGACTGCCACCAGTAGCCAGGTGATTGCCCGTAACTACAATGGCATCGCCCACGCTCCAGTGATCGCTCCAGTTGCTGCTCCCGTGATTGCCAAGTATGCGGCGGCTCCTTTGGCGGCTCCAGTTGCTGCTCCTGTCATTGCGAATTATGCTGCTTCTCCCTTGGCCTATAGCTCTCCTCTAGCTTACAGCTTGCCATCGCCTTACTCCGTCGGAGCTGCTCCAGTTCTGTTGTAAGATTATTGTGAAAGGATTAATAATGCAAATAAAAATCGATTTGAAATATATTACTTTTGGGCACACCAAAATGAATTAATGAACGTGCTCTGTGTGCAGATAATGTGCATAAGCATCCATTAGCTATTTACATTTAAATCACGTAGCATGGGGAATATTACCATCAGTGGCGGTTAGCGGTCCAATGGCTTAATAGTTTATTTTGAATATATTCGGAATAATGCAAGTGGGTCAAGGTCTCTAGGGCCACCCTGCGAAGGTATTGGCAGTTGAATGAACTCTTAAGCAACGAGCGAATTATTACAAGGACATTCCAGTTTTTTAATTTACTCACATTTAATTTTCTTGTTAATTATATCTCACCTTATATGTTCGGCTTTTACAAACAATATTGAAAATGGTTAGGCACACCAAAAATAACATACCCTTATAGATATAGAGTAAATAACATGGCAATTCTTGTTCGGAGTTTGACTTAATTTAATTTAATTTTTTTTTTTTAGGATTTTTTTTCGCTTAAGGAAATTATTGAAGCTGATCTGGCTGTTCATGGAACATTTCACATTTGTGTAGTTATATTGTATCTACATCTATCTCGATCCCACAACTGAAAACTCATCTTTCTACAGATATTCCCCATGGTAGCGATATAGTGATCCGATAATGATGATGTAATATATTTGACTTGTTACAATTGCACCGATACTTTTGAGAGTAAGTAATCGAGTCAGGTGCGATATCAGTAGTGAATCGATATCTGAAGTGCATAGAAAGTCAGTTGGTTGCAGTCGGAGTTAGAAGACGGACTCATTATTAAGTATAAGGTCAGATTGAAACATATTTAAGCACAAAGAGCAGAAGCAAACTGTTATAAAAACTGCGAGAATTTTAATTCATAAGAGAGACGGTTCTGAGGCAGGAGCAGCTACCGAGTTGTAGAACAGCAAGAAGCTTTGAGGCCTGCAGTACAAATATCTGTAGAAACCGCAATTGGTATGAACATCGGTTGACATAGTTTCAGAAGTGCGTGCAATTCTGTCAGAAATATTTTAATACTGTTTACCTACAGCTGGCAGAAAGTTCGGTATTCAGTATGGTGAGGTTGACTCGGATGATCAATCTCATCAGTAGTTACCCCAAATAGTTCTTTGTTTACATTGAAAGATGTCGAGAGCAGTGTGTGAAATTTGTTGGGAACAAGCAACCCTGATGTTTAACAGTGAGTTCAAGAGCTAGAACAGAATAGCACTTACAGTACAGTGGACTAAGTTACAACTTATGTCTGCTCGAAAAGAATCGCTTAGTTGGGCCATATATATATTAAATTTCAAAATTCAGAAAATGAAGAAACATTATACGCATATTTTTTATGCTTTGATGGATATAGCAAAAAACTAGTTGAACTAGTTGAAAGAATTTGGTAAAATATTTTATTAACCGTATTCCAGATTCCAAGGCAAACAATTTATTTAGAGACTCAGATTGATGACTGAGCCTGCAATCAAACATGATCCACATGCTGACGATTTTGTTAGTCAACCCAGCGTAGATGCAAAAGCTGAAAGGATATGTTTTAAATGTGGTGATTCTTCGCATGTACGCTAAATTTCAACTCTTCCAGATGTGGCCAGAGTAAGTCACCGTGCAGCACATGCAAGGTCAAAATGTAAAGCTATGAGGGAAGTTCCTCGAGGTGTTTAAGATTGTCGATATATAGCATCAAAAGTCAGTCGCTTGTAGTGAAGACCCATGAAACGCAGTATCCTTAAGCACAAATATATCAATGTATATCACAGGGTCATTACTTATTATAAAATTAAACAAGTAAGTGGGTTGGTTTGTGGCTTCTAAGGACAATCTCAACTACATCGACGAAAGTAAACAACAACAACGACGATTCCTTGAAAAAAAAAAACAAGCACGAGAGCGACCAGTTCAGCCTTTGACGGAATAGGTTGGGAGAGCTGTTTATCAAAAGAAGTATAGACGGGAGAGTTGCAGTTGTGCTTTAATAATAAATAGTCGTCAATAGTCGCCTGCCACAATGTTTTTGGTGCTGGACGAGTGTTATCCGAACGGATCTACCAAACTTAATTTAGCTTTTGCAACTGTCGGATATACAAATTTGCGATGGAGGTATATATTATAATGTGGATTATTAAAAGAGATAGCCGCAGTCCATTTTGAGCTTCAAAATTGTCGAGAATTAACGGTTTTATTGACTTTGGGGTGCATTTTATTAGATCTTAAAAAAATATCATAGATTCAAGTCCCTTTGTAGGCAGACAGTTTTTAAACTCTGATATCAAAGGAAGAAATTCGATAAAGCCACAAGTCTCTCATCATTCAAAAGCTAAAGTCACGGAACTTGAATGGTACACTATTGCTGACTTTCTTCAAAGATCGTCTCGCGTGCACGTCATTCAGCTCCTAAAAATTGGAAATGTTTTTTTTTCTTCAATAATTATTTGCTAAAGCTAGCAAACTTGGAAGATATTTACTTAAAACCTCCTCCAAAGATTGCTATTATTTTTCAACGTCCAATCTACGCAAAAAATCTTAAAGCAGAAATTTTTCACAGTCTTAAAACTAAATTGATTAAAATTCAAAATTTAAGCATTTATTTTTTACACTGTTTAAGACACTGTTAACCTATTTTTATCCAATTTAGTTTTTTCTTGGTTTCTGTAATACTTACAGTAAATGCTAGAGCATTTTACACCTATATAATCTAGTTTTTAAAATCTGCTAATAAAATGTGTGGTCACGCATAGTCCCGTAGACCCCAGCCCACAGCTAGTTTCAGCTAGTCAACACCCTTCAATTAGCGGAAATCAATTCACCACCCCGTCCACTTTGCACAGCACTAGGGTTACCTCATTTGACAGGTCTATTTTTCAGATCAGTAATATGATTTGTAAAAAAAGTTTAAATAGACCCCTCATCAAATTAGTATGACGTTTATCGTATGCGTGTGTTCGAAATGCTTCATTTCCTCTGACATATACAGTTGCACAACCCCAGAATTTTCCATTTGCTTATTATTTTCACAGATTTTAAAAGGTCAAAGTTTGCTATATTAACATTGTTCGTCACATAATAGTTTAATAACAATCAAATCAAATCGATCAAATCAAAAGTGGTGCTGGCGCAGCAGCATATCTCAGGGAGGTGCTGTACGTCAAAGGAGAGCTATAGGCCAAGGGAGAAGCAGCATAATTCGCAATGACAGGAGCAGCAACTGGAGCCGCCAATGGAGCCGCCGCATACTTGGCAATCACGGGAGCAGCAACTGGAGCGATCACTGGAGCATGGGCGATGCCATTGTAGTTACGGGCAATCACCTGGCTACTGGTGGCAGTCACAAACGGAGCAGGAGCAGCAACAACTGCAGCGGGCGCAGTATAGGCCAACTGTTGACCAAGGAGAAGACCTGGCTTGGCAGCAGCGCAGGCGATGATGGCAAAGATAACAGCAGCCTGAAGACAAATAAGTCACTTTCAAATTGTGCTCAAGTATCAATAAAACAATATGTCAACTTACGAATTTGAACATTTTGGTTATTTGGGATTGCAGCTCGATGAGTTGAACTTGTTCGATGACATTTAATAGTTTTTGCTGCGCTATTTATACAAAAAGGCGACTACGATGTTGACCTTAAGTCTGCATTTCTGAAATTTGTGGCTACCACGACGCGTTATACATAAAACAATGGGAAATAACATGCGGAGTGGGCCATGTGAAGTGATAACGGCTACAAAATGTTTAATGTTAACTGTGTTTTCAAACTGCCAACGCATTTCAATGAACCCAATGACTCACAGTTGGATGAAGACTATTTTGGTGTTTTGTGGTATAAATACTCGCTGGCAACTGTAGTTGGACATCACATACATAGTTTGCAGCTAACCCTACAAGCAACACAAGCCTCAAATCTTCAACATGTTCAAATACGTAAGAGCCAGAGAGGGAAAGTCCTTGTCGTGTGGCCTGCTTCTCTAACTTAACTGCCTCTGTTTTCATTTACAGACCATCGTTATCCTCGCTATCATCGCCTGCGCTGCTGCCAAGCCAGGTCTTCTCCTTGGTCAACAGTTGGCCTATACTGCGCCCGCTGCAGTTGTTGCTGCTCCTGCTCCGTTTGTGACTGCCACCAGTAGCCAGGTGATTGCCCGTAACTACAATGGCATCGCCCATGCTCCAGTGATCGCTCCAGTTGCTGCTCCCGTGATTGCCAAGTATGCGGCGGCTCCATTGGCGGCTCCAGTTGCTGCTCCTGTCATTGCGAATTATGCTGCTTCTCCCTTGGCCTATAGCTCTCCTCTAGCTTACAGCTTGCCATCGCCTTACTCCGTCGGAGCTGCTCCAGTTCTGTTGTAAGATTATTGTGAAAGGATTAATAATGCAAATAAAAATCGATTTGAAATATATTACTTTTGGGCACACCAAAATGAATTAATGAACGTGCTCTGTGTGCAGATAATGTGCATAAGCATCCATTAGCTATTTACATTTAAATCACGTAGCATGGGGAATATTACCATCAGTGGCGGTTAGCGGTCCAATGGCTTAATAGTTTATTTTGAATATATTCGGAATAATGCAAGTGGGTCAAGGTCTCTAGTGCCACCCTGCGAAGGTATTGGCAGTTGAATGAACTCTTAAGCAACTAGCGATCATAAATACACATTTTCAGATTAATGAAAAGGCGATTCTATTTTTTTTAACGACCACCTCTCTCTTTTTTAATTTACAAACGATTATTTTTTAATTGAAATTCAATTTATTTGTTTCGTTTTTAAGAAATAAAAAATGTTGGTGTAGTTATAACACTGTTTGCAAATCAGATTTACCAGATACCCTTTATTTCCCCTCTCGGTAGAGGTCTGACCCCAATTCTAGAATAATGAGGAGCTCGCTTTATGCCCGAAAAGAGGATGTCCCATATTACAAATTATAATATAATAAAACTTTTGTCATTGTTGTGTGCTGTTGTGATTTCTTATGAGTAATTTTAGTAATGCGTGGTTATGTTTCTTGAAATATAACTTTTACTTGACAAAATATTGCAAAAAGTTTAAAATGCCAACATATTTACAATAATCCGCAAATTGATGAATCACAAAATATTCTTTCCCCATATTCCAAAAGCGATTACCCTGCAATGTTCTTGCTGGGACAATGCTAAAATTTGCAGCTGCATAGAATATGCACAAAGTAGCCATTTATCAAAAACTATTAATAGATTTAAATGAAGATTCAAATTCATTGAATATCGAAGCAAACTAAGGACTATAAATTATGTTAAAAATTGATGCCAAGTTGCAGCTGAAAATGATTTAGGAAATAAAGACTGGGTAGCCAGCAAAGTGTTTGTTTATGTTGGGCTTTTGAACCGGCAAAAAGTGATGCACTAGGTTTGACGGTTAGACTAAGAAGAATTTATTCAATGTATTCTTAAGTAAAGGTATCGAGCGCAGTATCGATATCTTCTGTTATTAACATTAGTAATCGGAATGTTGTATTGATCTTTTACATATTTTCAACGCTCCCCCTCAATACACATTATTGACAATTAATTTGAGACCAAGCAATCTATTACAATTTTCATGTTTTAACTTGCTCAAATTCTTAGTTAAGATATCTGCCATCATTTGACTCGTTGGACAATATTCCAGCTGAATCACAAGCTTATTAAAAACTTCTCGCACGAAGTGATAACGAATATCTATATGCTTGCTTCTTGCATGGTAAACTGGATTTTTAACTAACTTCATAGCGCTCAAATTATCGCCATGAATTACAATACTTTTCATATTTCTGTATATGTTCATTTCGTTACATAATTTCAGAATATAAACAGCTTCTTTAGTTGCTTCCGACATTCCCATATATTCGGCTTCAGTACTACTTAGTGCTACTGACGACTGCTTCTTGCTTTCCCATGAGAATGCGCTACCGCCAAGAATGAATGCGTATCCAGTGTACGACTTTCGGTCCTTGTTATCTCCACCCCAGTCCGCATCAACGTAGCCTTTGATGGGATTTCCAGTGTTAGCATATGTTATGCCCATTGAAGACGTCGTCCTCAGATATCGCAGCACTTGTTTTGCTGCTGCCCAGTGCTCTTGGTGGGGATCCAGGGATACTGAATGTAAAATGTCAGGTCTGGATGTAACTGCCAGATACATTAATGATCCGATCAGTGACATTGTTGGCTCTCACATTTGGTGGTGTACCCGGACGCCAACGGTACTGATGCTGGCCGACACGCTTCCATGCCAAACTTCTTAAGCAGCTGCAACACATGCTGCTGCTGGGTGATCGTTATCGCCCCTATTATGCCCTTCCTATTGATTTCCATACCAAGGAAATGATGTATAGGGCCCTTGTCAACCACCTGGAAAATTCGAGATATACTTTCTTTTATACTGGCCAACTCACCAATATCTGATGAACATATCATCATATCATCCACATATACTGCAATTATGTTTATGTTGTTTTGTGTATGCCTAGTATATACACACAGCTCGCTTGGACAGGCCGAAAAACCAATTTTTGTCATCATCTCGTTCAGATTTTTGTTCCACATCCGTCCAGACTGTTTTAGCCCATATAAGGACTTTCGAAGTTTAAGAACAGACACTCCTTGTTCTTCAAACATACGGGGTTGCTTCATGAAAACATCCTCCTGCAATTCTCCATTTAGATATGCCGTAGATACATCAAGTTGGTGCACATGTAGCTCCAGTTCAGCTGCTATGGCCAACACCATCCTTATTGTCGCATATCGCACTACTGGCGAAAACGTTTCGTTGTAGTTCACTCCGTGTTTCTGGCTGCATTACTTTCCAATGCTTCTTCCACAGTTTCTGGTGTTACGACGGCATCACTGCTCACAAGATTCAGCTTGTGACTCTGGTCTGGTCTTCGCCATCCGTGCCCACTGGTTCTTCAAGTCGGTTACTTTTCTTGCTGATTTTACTTTTATTGGTATCGGTGTTACCGTTATCTTCGCCGGTGCCTTTGCTGCTGCCTCTGCTGCTGGCTCTACCTGCTGCCCCTGCTGCTGCCTTTGCCGCTGCCTCTACTGCTGCTTTTGCCATTTCCACTTAGGAACACTGCATTTATTGTTTTGGTTATTTCACACAGAAATAAATTGCTTGTATGATTCGCAATAATCAGAGTTTTACCGTTTTAGTCACATACACACGCACGATTGTTTTTAAAGTTTACAGTGCAGCCTCCTTTTACTGCTCTGCTCACCGAAATAAAGTTGCATTGTAATTGTGGCACATAAAGAACGTTTGTAAGTTTTACTGTTGACGATTCCGTTTCAATCATGACGACTCCTCGTCCGACTACTTCTAGTGATTTTTTACCAGCAAGTGTGACTGTATCAGTGAATTGTTGAAACGAATTAAACATATTTTGATTTGCGCACATATGAGCTGTGGCGCCACTATCTAAGCACCACGCTGACTTATCAAGCAATCGTTCATGAATGATTTTTCGTCTCCTCCTTTTACATGACCTTCGTTCGCCTTGGACCTACATTCTGCAGAAATGTGGCCAATTTTACCGCAATTGTAACACTTGATTTTTTTGTTTCGGTTCTTGCCTACTTTGTCTGTCTTTTTTGCACTCTCTTTAGGGTAGTGTGCTTTGCTTAAAAATGCCTGTGCATTATTTTCGTTCACACTCTCTCTATGTGCTTCGCTCTTGCGTCTCTCACACTCTTCCAACAATTTAACCTTCAAAGTACTAAACTTTGGTAATTCATCACGTGATTCCAATGCTACAACCAAATTTTCATATGATTTAGGTAGACTTGCCAAGAGTACAATAACATATATTTCCTCTTGCGGCACAATGCCAATTTCTGTTAACTGCTCCACGGTGTTCACAAAATTTGCAATATATATTTGCATGTTCTCATTCTCGTTCCGCATGAAGAGTAATCTCTTGAACAATGTGACTTTTCTCACTGGACCGGTGGGCTGATGCACTGCCTTTAGGGTTATCCACGCACTCGACGCCGATTCACATTTCTTAATGTGACCAATCTCAGAGCCTCTTATTGAGAGAGTAATCACCGCTAAGGCCTTTTCGTTTTTTGATAACCACTGACTATATTCACTCGTCTTGTCTGAGCTTGGGCATTTCATAGCTCCCGAAGTGACGGACCATAGCTCTTGGTGAATTAGCACACTTTTCATTTGGACACACCACGAATCATAATTTGTTTCGTCCAACTTGTCTATATTGTACAGCGCACTCATTTTTCGCTCGTACTTGTTCTCACACAGAAAACTTTAGTTGGTAATGCACACAGCAATACAAAATTCTAATGAAAAAATGTCACTCGACCTTAAACGCGGCTTTTCAGCATAACCTTAGTTTCATTCAACTTTTTCTTTTTTTTTTATGCCTGGGCCCATAACCTGTTGGGGTTTTGAAGCGGCAAAAAATGATGCACTAGGTTTGGCGGTTAGACTAAGAAGAATTTATTCAATGTATTCTTAAGTAAAGGTATCGAGCGCAGTATCGATATGTTCTGTTATTAACATTAGTAATCGGAATGTTGTATTGATCTTTTGCATATTTTCAACAGTTTAAAATGATGATAAATATCGGATTAGAGTTAAATAATAAATATATGTTAAATAAAGTTGTATTATATGATGTAGTGGTCCGAACCGAATTTGGTAAGATCATTGTGAGACTCTTAATACATAGAAAAACTAAATATGCAAGTGTCATCTTATTTCTTAGACATTATGCTCAGTATTAATTTTAAGCCATAGCCATAGTAAAATCTTAGAACAGACCTTAAAATTGTCACGTGTACTGAAGCCAAGTCAATGCAGGCTTCCCTCCTTTGGGAAGATGCTGATATGCTGATTTGTGGACAAGCGCTTTTGTTATCGGATTCGGTCTGATTATTCTTTAGTAATGAGCATGACCACTCGCCCACATTAGGTTCTCTGCTAAAATTTTAATTCACTTCACCAACCACGTACGGACCATATCTAATATATATTGGTCTTGTGCAGTAAACTATATTGGTCTTGTCCAGTATCCGTCTGCTCTCTGTGCGTCTGTTCGTCTCTCCGTCCGTGTGAACGCATCTTTTATCGACACTCTTAGAGCCAGACACTTGCAACATTGAACATTTACTGGTCTGTGCCCGAGTCAGACAAAGTGTGTAATTTTGAGTGCAATGTCCACCAGGAGGGTAGAATATCGATATAATCGATAATCGTAAATCGATAAAGCCACATATCTCCCACAATTTTGAAGATGGAGTCATCAAACTTGGAAGGTAACTTGCGTCAAATATCAGCATATACATTTTCAGACCACGGTCTCAACCGTCGCCACAGGAACTTGGGGCCTAGAAATCTGAAATGCGCATATCTTCCACAATTTGCAAGCTAGAGTCTTCAAGTTCCGAAAGTACGTTACTGGTAGCTTCCTTGAAAGTTCGATAATAATAGTGACTGACCACGTCCACTCCGCCTCCCATAACCGATATACCTGATGGTGTAAATCGATAAATCCACTTATCTCACACAATTCGAAAGCTAGAGTCACTAAAATAGAATTCAATACTGCAAGTAACACTCTTAAAATATCCGGATATGAAATTTTGGAACACGCCAACTTCGGACCACAAAAACCATAGAAGCCTATATCTCCCGTAATTTACAGCTGCATTTCGCAGTCGGCCACGCCCGATTACAACATTCTCTCCTTTTTTTTATTTAATTTGACACAGCAACCTATCGTCAAAATAAAATAAGCTTGACCTCAAGTTCCATTTTCAATGGGAACAGCGTTTGAAAGGAAAACGCACTAAATTACAATACAAATATCTTTATTTAATATTTTACTTGCAATCAAATCAAAAGTGGAGTACTGTACGCCAAAGGAGAGCTATATGCCAAGGGAGAAGCAGCATAATTCGCAATGACAGGAGCAGCAACTGGAGCCGCCAAAGGAGCCGCCGCATACTTGGCAATCACGGGAGCAGCAACTGGAGCGATCACTGGAGCATGGGCGATGCCATTGTAGTTACGGGCAATCACCTGGCTACTGGTGGCAGTCACAAACGGAGCAGGAGCAGCAACAACTGCAGCGGGCGCAGTATAGGCCAACTGTTGACCAAGGAGAAGACCTGGCTTGGCAGCAGCGTAGGCGATGATAGCGAGTATAACGATGGTCTGTAAATGAAAACAGAGGCAGTTAAGTTAGAGAAGCAGGCCACACGACAAGGACTTTCCCTCTCTGGCTCTTACGTATTTGAACATGTTGAAGATTTGTGGCTTGTGTTGCTTGTAGGGTTAGCTGCAAACTATGTATGTGATGTCCAACTACAGTTGCCAGCGAGTATTTATACCACAAAACACCAAAATAGTCTTCATCCAACTGTGAGTCATTGGGTTCATTGAAATGCGTTGGCAGTTTGTAAACACAGTTAACATTAAACATTTTGTAGCCGTTATCACTTCGCATGGCCCACTCCGCATGTTATTTCCCATTGTTTTATGTATAACGCGTCGTGGTAGCCACAAATTTCAGAAATGCAGACTTAAGGTCAACATCGTAGTCGCCTTTTTGTATAAATAGCGCAGCAAAAACTATTAAATGCCATCGAACAAGTTCAACTCATCGAGCTGCAAGCATATCCCAAATAACCAAAATGTTCAAATTCGTAAGTTGACATATTGTTTTATTGATACTTGAGCACAATTTGAAAGTGACTTATTTGTCTTCAGGCTGCTGTTATCTTTGCCATCATCGCCTGCGCTACTGCCAAGCCAGGTCTTCTCCTTGGCCAACAGTTGGCCTATAGTGCTCCGATTGTAGCTGCTGCACCCGCTGCAGTCGTTGCTGCTCCTGCTCCGTTTGTGACTGCCACCAGTAGCCAGGTGATTGCCCGTAACTACAATGGCATCGCCCACGCTCCAGTGATCGCTCCAGTTGCTGCTCCCGTGATTGCCAAGTATGCAGCTGTTCCAGTGGCAGCTCCTCTGATCGCTTCGTATGCTGCTGCTCCTTTGGCTGGTCCTCTGGCTTACAGCTCACACTTGGCGGCTCCTCTCTCCTACGCTCCAGCTCTGCTATAAGAACTTGTGGACTGACTGTTAATAAAAACACAAAATTGTAGCTTAACCAATCTTAGTTTATCTCTGGGTGCACTTGGTCTCTCCTAATTGGACTAACAGCTAGCACATATACAGCTCAACAACTGTGGCGACCGTTGGCCAATTGTAGTGCAAGTCACACAGGCCATTAACATTTTTGTCAGCACCGGCAGCTGCTGTTTTAATTGTTGACGAATGCGTGACGCGTGACATTAAAGTGTCCACAGGAAAGTTTGAGTTTGTTTTGAACGCAAGTTGTAGTTATGTGAAGGTCAAAATTGCTTTTTAAATTGGCTAGTGAATATCTTAAAATATTGCATTTCCCATATTACAGGTGATAAGTATTACAATGACTTGTAATGTGCTAGGTTGGTTTTTGTAACATGCCCCACGAAATTAGTCTTAACTCCGGTCAATGTTATTGACCCCTAGCAACAGCTGTGATCTGTGAGCCCTAAAGAGGGGTGTCATTAATGTTAGAAAATGACGTGAGATGTATTGTATGCTGTTTATAAATATAAACGCACTAGTTTAATTTATTAACAAATTTATTTAAATGTTGCTCTTAAAAGAGCAGACAATGAGCTCGCAGACCGAAGAAGGAGACAAATGAACATCGCAGCATCGATTCACCATAAGACAGAACTTATTGTAAATTAGCGCGCTGCTGGACGGGAGAAACCAGGCCACCGGAGTGGTGGGGCGAGTTGCGAGAATGGTGTAACAAGGTTCCCACCCTGAATTCGTGGTGTTTACCAGCTTGTAGCAGTTGATAATAATCTCCGGGTGGGATAGAGGTGGTGCGGTTGCTTGAAATATATTTAATTTTAAATAAAAATTTGATTTAAAAATAGTTTTATAATATTTAGTGCAGTATTTATGTACATGGGATCACAGTGTAAATGCTTAAATCAAAAGTGGTGCAGGTGCCGCAGCGGTGCATTATAGGCAAGCGGAGCGGCGAGAGGAGCAGCTGCATATCGGTCAAAGACTGGAGAAGTGAGTGGAGCAGCAATTGGTGCTGCCAGCGGATAAGCAGCATACTTGGCGACGAGAGGCGCAGCCAGAGGAACAGCAACTGGGGCCACGGCTCTGATGAGTGGAGCAGAAGCAATTACGGGCGCGACGCCGATGCCGTTATAGTTTCTGGCCACCACCTGGCTACTGCTGGCTGTCAGCAGTGGAGGAGCGGGAGCAGCAATGATGGCAGCGGGAGCAGCCAGTGGTGTCTGCAGAAGAAGTCCAGGCTTGGCGACAGTGCAGGCAACCAGGGCGCAGATGACAGCGACCTGTACGGAGAGTTGTGGAGATTTGAGCATTGGGAGAAGCAGGAGCAATAATAATAGAATGACGACAACTAACGTATTTGAACATGTTGAGAGATGTCTGATTGCTTTCTGGAGTGGCCACTTGAAAAGCGAAACTGTGTTTGATGACATGTCTTCAATTTCGATTTATTTTTATAGCGACTCGAAGCGAACGTGACGGACGCGCCATAGAAAATGAAAACAAAACCCGAAAACCGGCACAACGGAAAAGCAGAAATTAGCATACAGAGCGCGCGAGCAAAGTGAGCCAAGTCAGACAAAACAAAGCGTTGAGTGAATTGTAACTGTAATAAGTGCATTGATTCATAAATGCTTTGATTCGCTTTAAGTTTCTCACTGGGACTTAACAACAGACACACACATTACAATCGATTAATCGATTATTTTTATTTGCTTAAACTTTTCAAATTTACCTTATAGCCATATATTTCAGGAAACGATCGGCTTATACAAGCAATCAATTAGAGTAAATTTGTGATAGTTGCTTGAGTTTTTCTCATAATACAAAAACAATATAAGCTGAGAAGAAAAGTTAACTTTTAATATTTAACAATTTTAATATTTATTTTTTAAAGATTTGAGGTGATGCCTTTGCAAATTGTCTGCACAATATGCTTTAAGAAGTGCGTTCTATTAAAATTAATAATATAATAATAAAATATAATTATATTATATTTCCGATTACTTATAATATTCAATGTTAAATCAGTTCAAAATAATACGCTTCCAACTTCATGTACATATTACATTTGCTACCAAAAAGTCACTTAGCCTTAAAGCAATGCTCAGCCTTGACCCAAAAAGAAGGAATACCAATAAAATAAATAATTTTTGTGTCAACAAGCAAAAGTGTCCATTGTGTGTGTGTGTGTGTGTGTGTGTGTGTGTTAGTTTCTTTGGTTGCATGTGGGTGTGTGTGTGTGGTTTTTGCTGACCGGGTTCGAGCAATAATTTTTAGTTCGCTTTGGCCTGCGTACGTGCTCAAAATGTTTAATTGGTCGACTGCTGTGAGCTGAATAGAACTCGGTGAAGTCAGGTCACTGCCTGGAGAGTTGAAGAGCAGTGTTGAAAAATATATGTGATATACTTTTTAACATACATACATATATAAATCGACATGTATATGTGTACTTAAATTGGATTCAAATTTAATTGGTAATATATGAAATCGAGTTTATTTAGAGTATACATGTACATTTACATATATGTATAATGTTGGCTGTCATTTAGTCATTTACATTCAATTAATAGTTAGTTAATTCAGTCAGTTAACAAATCCACTTACTAGTGTGGATATAATGGACCACAAGTAATATAAATTCTTGCTAATCAAGCAAAAGCGTTCAATTTAATTTCATGCACTTTGATTTTCAAACAAATTTTGTGTAATTAGCTGCGGCAATCGGAATTGGCTGCCCTTCGGGTTTTGGCAGCAGCACTGAGACCCTCGAAAGACATGGCTAACTACCAATTGTAACCAATTGCCGCCACTTATAATGGACAACGAGTGCCACGCAGGGCGCATTTTAAGTAGCCCCAGCAATGGGCTGTCTTCTTGGGTATAAATATGCGTGGCAAGGCTTCAATTTGACATCAGTTCGCAGTCTGCTCTAAAGCCGCAACTAACAACCAACTCAGCAAATCAAACAACCAACAAATCAATTCACCATGTTTAAATACGTTAGTAATATTTCGTTTGAACATCATTGCTGATGATATACTTAATCATTGTATTCCGTGTAATCCTTCACAGGCTGTTGTCCTCTGCGCTCTGGTTGCCTGCGTTGCCGGCAAGCCAGGATTGCTGCATGCACCGCTGGCTGCTCCAGCTGCCGTCCTTGCAGCACCTACACCTGTGATTACCGCTGCCAGTAGCCAAGTGGTGGCCAGGACGTTCAATGGCATCGCAGCTGCACCCGTTATTGCCGCTGCTCCCGTGCCAGTTGCTGCTCCATTCATCAGAACGGTGGCACCAGTTGCAGCTCCACTCATCAGACCTGTGGCACCAATTGCTGCTCCTCTGGCTGCTCCAGTTTTCCGACCTGTGGCACCAGTTGCCGCTCCTCTGGCTACTCCATTCGCCGCTCGAGTAGCAGCTCCTCTAGCTGCTCAAATTGCTGCTCCTCTAGCTGCTCCCTTTGCTGCGCCATTCGCTGCTCCGTTGGCGGCTCCACTTGCTCATCCGTATGCGGCACCTGTATTTGCCAAATACACAGCCCCCTTGGCTTATGGATCAGCTCCGCTGAGCTATGCAGCAGCACCCGCATTGTGGTAGGAGCTGTGTCCAGCAAGGATTAACAGCGTGGGTGTTCAACGACTGATAGCCTTTAATAAAACGCGTTCAACTTGGTATGAAAAGTAAAAAATGGTCCTATTGTTTGTCTAAACCGCTGTAATGCTTATTTGAAGAGTATGCCAGGTTTTTTTTTTTTACTGAATTTGCAGCATTTGAAACTCAGTCTTACAAACTCGGCTACGCCTAAGCGTATTACAAAATCATTGAATCCTTGTATTTCTGGTATCTTGATATTTTGGTTTTGTGCAATGTCCGTCATGCTGTCTGTCTGTCTGTCCATCTGTCCGTCCGTATGAACCAACGATTTTCGACACCCTTAAAGATAGACACTTGAAACTTGGAACAACTACTGGTCCGTGCCCGCGTCAGACAAAAAATTATAGTGCTACGTCCACTAGTGGGCTAGGAAATCGATAAAAATCGATATTCGCAATCGACACATATCACAATTATAAGACTACAGTCACCTAAATTTGGTTGGTTCAAAGATCGGCGTATGACACGACCACCTCCGATGCCACCACGCCCCTCGCCATTGAACAGTTTAAATGGTTATATCCTATGTCGCAGTTTTTGAGCTAGACCCGTAAATTATCTCCCATATCTCCCACAATTTCAAAGATAGAGTGATCAAACTTGGAAGATAACTTGCTGGTGACCTTCTCCAAGGATCAGCATATACATTCTTAGACCACGCCCACACCCGTTGCCCCCAGCAGCCTCGGCCCTAGAAATGTAATATGCGCATATCTTCCACAATTCGTAAGCTAGGGTCACCAAATGTTAAAAGTATGATACTGGTAACACCCCTAAGAGATCGATAAAAATTGGATGGCTACGCCTACTCCGCCTCTCTAAACCGATACACCTGTTAGTGGAAATCGATAACCATTTATCTTACACAAGCTTGAGTCAGCAAACCTGAAAGGCATATTGCTAGTAACACCCTTTAAAAATAAGGAAAAAAAAATTGGACAACGCTCACTCCCGCCCACAAAATCAATAAAATTCTGTATCTCCCGTAATTTAAGAGCTATAGTTACCGAACTTCGAAGAAACGTTACTATTTGATATCTACTGCAATTTGGAAGGCAAACTTGGACAGTACTTCTTGGCTATACCTCCATGTTCCTTTTTACTGGTTATCTACTGGAATAACTTATGGTAGTTAAAGTCAAAGTATTTCGCAGTCGGTTACGACCGACTGCAACGTTCTCTCTTATTTTTTTTCTTTTGTTACTGTGCCCGGTAAGAGAGGATGAGAGACCCTGAAAGAGCCAATCGCTTGTGGCACATCGGTTTTATTCAGGTCATTTGTGTTTCATTGTCCTTCGCTTTGCACTTGCATCCATCTAAATGAATTATGGTACATCTGCCATTGTGTGGGTCAGATCGAGCATTGAGCATCGAGCATGGAGCAATGACTGCACTGCAACCCGGAGTTCAGGTCCAGGTCGTTTCTCATGCACCTTTCATCTATATTTGCCAGTAATTTAACTTTGGCCAACAATGCGAGGGAAGCGCGTCCCCATGGCCAATAAATGTCCAAATAATTTTATTTGAATTATAGTCTCTAGAATGTGTGCACAAAAATTTAATCTTAAAGTTATTCCTTTTATTAGGATTGGGGAACAGTAAAACTTGTTAGTGGAGGAAAGCGAAAACTTAAACGGCAAAGATAAGCGATATACACATGCATTACAATCTTCAACCCCTCTTCCTCCTACCCTTACCTTCATATATGTATACATATATATATATATCCAATTCACTGTCGACGTTGGCTGATTTTGAACAGCAGCGCAAACGCAGAAAAGTTTATCCTCAATTAAACTTTTTGTAGTTGCGTAAAATTGCGCCGGAGTTCAGTTTGTCCGTTTGAGTGTATGTGTGTGTGTGTGTGCTGTAGGCCATACATCACGCACACACACACACACACACACACACACACACACACATATGCTTTACATACTGAACTCCGTATGCCATAGTATCACATCCTTTCCTATCCTATTCTATCCTATTCCAGCCTCATCTTCATTTGTTGGCTTAACTTTTAACTCCACTTGCCTTAATTTTCGCTCACTTTATTGTTGTTCGTGTGGCGCTCGGCACATTTTTGGTAATTTCCTCCCCTGGCAAATACAGACACAAAAATTCTATGTGCTTCAATTACCACTCTGGCAATCAACCTGCCCCTGCCACTTGCCACTTGCTCCATGGACCTGCTCTCCATCGTCTCAGCAGCTGTCGATGTATGTGTGGGTCGGTTTCTGCCTTCAAACATTTCATTAGCCTTCTTTACATGCGTTTTAATTTGTTGCATCATTGCGTCGTCGAGTTTTTCCTTTTGGTAATTGATTTCACAGCAAGTTCTTGTGCAAACTTTTAATGCACATTTACGTGTAATTAGAAAGACTTTGAATATTCAACTTTGTATAGCATATATTTAATATTTAAAGTTGTCCATTAGTATCAGTATGTACGCAAATTTGTTTTGTTTTGAAGTTGAAAATACATATTAATTAGTGTCAAATTGTTTAACGTTGGATTCTACTTCGTTGCACTGGAGGTTGCGAAATCTATTACATCGATAAGTACAAATCTATAAGACCTTCAAATTTCCTAAAATTTGAAGGTTCAATGTTCCTATGTTCAATGTATGTGTAGTCTGCTTCTTATATTCGGTGATTCAATCGATTATAGCTTATAATCAACAAATTTATAGATAAAAACGAACACTTTCTTAACTTTGTGAACACTAATCAGCTAAAATAAAATCAAGTTAACATATTAGTGAAACATAAATCTATTGTAGAATACAATATTGTATACTCGAACAAATACGCAAAACTTTTAGTTGAAATACAAAATAACGATCATAATGTGTGTATACAATTTTAAGAATTCAAAATATTACAGCTATTAATTTGTTTGTTAATGAATGAATTGTTCTCTATTTGGCCAGTGCGCTTAAGGTTGCAATAAAAAACTTAATTTTTTCAAACCGAAAAGTTTACGTATAAAACTTATTTTCAAACCAAAACTTGACTTGTAAAAAATGTTCTCGAATCTCTGAATTTTCCAGACAAGCGGAGGGCAATGTTGATGGCTTCGTTGTGGTGGCTTAGCAGTTTCCTCAGTCGATTTGGGGAATTGATGGGTTGGGATGGGATGGGTAAGTGGAGCTCTGTGCCCTTAGCCTTTCAGATACAGCACCGCGAAAATCCACCAGCCTTCTGCCTTTTGATATGACGACAACAAGTCTTGCACGGCGCTTGGGATACCGACTACGTGATTTGTTTGCTAGCGCAATTTAGATGCCCGGGCGATGTAGATGCCAGCAACGTTCACATATCTGTGCGTTAGTATTGGTGCTGATATTTGTATTGGTATTGGCCGTATATGTGTGTAGGTGTGTTGGTCTTGCTACCACTTTGACATTTGGAACCAGCATCTAAGGCTTCCATCAAAAAAAGGAAAAAGAGGAAAGTTATTTTTGGCAAGTCGAAGCTAAACATACCCTTGCAGAGCAAACTGAAGGATTGTTCATAAGGTGATTTACTTTTTTGAAAGACCGTATGGAGCAAATTAAAACTCTGTCTGGATATAAATGAAAGTAAAATAGTATTTCGAAGAAGAAATGCCTTTCTACAATACAGTTTTCTCAACACAATTATGGATATACCGCATATTTTATCAAGAGCACATTTTGTGATAAAATTAAAATACCTTCAGTACGGGATAACAGTCGAAATTGGAGTGCGTGAAAAGCGCAGCTCCAACAATTGGGTGCGATAACAAAAACGTCCATCAAGGGCAGCGAGGGCAACGCACAAAGCGAATTTCAATTCCGACCGCCAGGTGGCGTTGCAAAACTTAATCACCTAATGCAAGGGGACGTGCGTTAAGCGTCTAAATAATGAGCAGCCGTCGAACAGAAAATGGCGAACGCTCCGCCAATTTGCATTGCTAGCTAAATGCAATTGACACGGAACAGATGCCATCGAGTGGCAGGTGGGGCAGAGGCAGAGGCCGCGTCAGAGTCAGGGGCAGGGGGAGGGTGCACGGGGCAGGGGCCAGGGCAGGTTAACAATTGTGGCGTGGAGAGCACTGACTGCACGTACATATACACGAATATTAGAAAAAAGCAGAAGCTTTTGTTTAAATAAAACAAAAGGGATGGTTGGCATGTCTGCATCGTTCCCTGTCAATTGCCATAAGCTGGGAATTTGCACGGTAAGCCTTTTCATTCGGGGATTGATTTTGGCATCGCATATTACGCATACGCCGCATGTGTCAAAGGTGCTAAGAAATGCCAAATGCATTTGCGAATCTCTCAGAAATTGGGCAAAACCAATTCCAAATGTCTGCTTCGACACAACATTTTACCAGAATAAGCGCCTCTTACATATGCCGGAAAAAAAGAGAAAGTTTTTGTCGAAGTTTGTTTTGCTGCCAGGCCCTGGCGTTGAAGGGTTGCCAGACACACGTGTGCGAGTGGGGGTGTGGGTGTGTCGCTTATTTGCTGACACAGCTCTGATCCGCATTTAGTTACGAAAGCGAAAAATAATTAATTAAGAAGTGCAAATCATAGCAAAATTATGCGGGTTGTCAAATTAAAACTAAAAGTAAACGCCAGCAGCAGACGCCCGGAAATAACCAGACATCGTTTAAAGATACACAAAAGAATCGAGGCGAACACACATGCTAACTGCTAAAGTGAGACAGAAATTTCGAAAGCCCTGCCAGGCAACTGCCAGAATCTCAATTTATCTCCTGACACAGCAATTAGTAATTCTCTTCTGCACGGGCTAATTTTACTTACTTTACCTAACTGACTGCTTAGTTACGAATCGTATCTTAGTATTTTCTATAATATATATGTAATGCATTTAGGATGCAATTAACTATTTATTGGCTTACCCTATAAAAACTCATGTGCATTAATAATACTTACAATATGTATACAAGCAGCAACTTGTACG